TGTCGCATCAATACAGGAGATTATCCTACATCTAAATTGTACTAAAGAATCCCTTGTCCAATGTTTGATTTTGAATTGTATTTGAGCTATTTCACTTTTCAGGTTACTACTATCTTTTTTTATAAGTCCTCCATATCTCTTTTGTTTGTCCTGTTCAATTTTACACCAAAGCATCTTTTTTTATTTGCTTTGCATTTTTTAAATAAAAGTTTCAAAATCTTAATTGATTTGAAACCAAAAGAACAAATTTTTAGCAATTAAAAGTTAATTTTAATAGTAATAATTGGAGATATATCTTTGAAAAATTTTGTATATGTATTTAAAACTCATTAGAAGAGGTAATTTTTCTCTAAGCTTTATATCTGTCAGTACTTACAAAATTAAGAGCTTAACCGTTAGAAACTTGTAAAAGAGTATCTTCTAAGTGATTTTGAATTTGGTTTGCTTAAGGTCCAATAAAATAATAATAATAATAAATTAATCTAATCAATACACTTCTCATTTGTGTAATCAAATTTATTATCAATCAATCAAAATCATTTATACAATAGAGACTTTTTAGTCAAATCTGAGATGTGGTACAGATAATATCAAGTATTGAAGTCCATTCGTGGACACTCTGTATATATATTTTTTCTTAATCATTAATAAAAGGAAATTCACAATGTCAAAATCTACTCATTACAATATGCACTATGAATAATGTAAAAAAGTGATATTTATATAGTGATTTATAACTGTACTATATAGTAAACTATATCCCTTTAAAGTAAACTTTCCAATGTTACATCTTTTTTTATAATATAATATAATATAATAATAATGTTTGATAAATTCTTCAGATTTGACGAGGGTGTACCTAATATTTAGGATTAAACGAGATAATTTATTTTCCTGTTCCAAGATAAATAATATAAAACATAAATGATCAACAAGAAATAAAATAGCAAACTTTTTTTTGGCTTATGGAAATGTACATTTTTTTCTAAGACTTAATTTTGTTATACAAATGAAATAAATATATTAATATATTTTATCATTTCAATATACCAACCATTACCAGGGTTATTGTATCAACATAGTGTCAATAAGCATGTTTTTTGTTTTTTTCTAATCATTTATTGTATAAACAATTAGCCAAAAAATTAACATACAATGTATTATAACATTGTATTATTTTTTTACAGGATCTCGTTTCTTTAGGAACATCTTGTAATATGTATGTATAGAAGAACCATTTTTCTATTAAAATGTGCATCCAATTTCTATTATTTCAACTTTAGAACTGAATGTACATTAAGGTAGCATCAAATGTCGGAATAACTGAGCATAATTTTTTTAAACAGAAAATTTCAATGACCGACCGACTAAAATAGTCTTTGACAATATCTTCACAAAACAGCTTGTCAAATTTTTGAAATTTATAAGTAAAACAATTATTGGATTGTTATGTTTCTTTTCTCCTGATCTATTGAAAGACTGCTCTATTAAAAACAATCAACTTTTTTGTAATAAAAATCCAAAGAAAATTTGATTAAGAATATGAGAAATTATTGAAGATTTTCAAAACAAAATCTTGAGGACTGAATAAAAACTTTTTTTTATAATACACTGGTAAAAGATTAAATGAGGGATGAGGTTCATCTCCTGAGCTTTTTGGACTAAAAGCAAACCTTTCATTTGCCAGCTATCCATTTGAAATTCTATAGGCCTATTAGACTGACATCTTTACAAACAAAAACGCTGAAAAAGATGAATGACCAACTGTCGACCTGGAAAACTTAAACCCACCTAGATAAGTTAATCCCAAGACATATGACCAAGATATCCAAGTTCAAAAATAAATCTTCCTCTTAACAAGAGTTAATGTGAGAACTATGAAAAACAAATTACATCAAAATTAAGAAAGAAGACATTTCAGAATAAAAAAAGGAAGCAGGAAGATTTTAAGGAATTATAAAAGGTTCCTTGACATGACATCACAGACTCAATGATCAGAAAAAGAATCTGAATGAAATAAAATTAAGAAGCAGAAGAAATACTGGCATACTTTACATCAGAATGCAGAGTGATACTTAAAAGTAGAAAAAATGTGATATACAAAATACAGATATTATACAGTCAAGAAGGGTGCAGTACAATTTCTAACTATTCGGTGATTATATCTAATTAAAATACTAACTAAATAAATGTAACAAGTTAAATATTTAGTCAAAAACTTATTTTATTGTTGTAATCATTTATTAGGTCATTAAATATACAATATATATGATGTAATCACCAAAAACTTGGAAATTCAATAACTTGCTTTTAGTTCGACTTTCATCACATCCCCTTTCTATTCATTCCCTTGAAATAAACATAAATTAAAATGAAATATGTTGTGCACTGTTTGATGAAACCAAGAAAAATCAGGCTTTCATTGGTAAGTTTGATAGCTTACAAGTTCACTCTGCGTTGTAATTTTTTTTAAATAAAATTTTTAATAAAAATTTTATAATATTTTGCATTGAAACTATTTCAAAATAACCCAGGGCATCGATGCTAACATTCAGAGAATAATTAAATCATTAGTGAACTTTAAATCTATCTGGAAAAAGTTGAAATTTAAACTCTTCTCGTTGTACATTTTCATATTAAATTGCCTTTTTTTTCTTAACTTCTAGAAAATTTAAACTTATTATACAATACTACAGAAAAGTTTAATCATTATTCCTGATTCATTATAAAAATATAACAACCTAACTTTGAAGACGGAAGGAATAAATAACTTGTTACTTGTTAAATACTTGTTAAATTTGTTTTGACACTAGCTTTTTTCATCTAGAAGTCAAATAGCAAATCTTTAGTGCAATGATTAGCACCATGCACTCTCTTATTAGACTAGGAATGGCTATAAATAAAATGCTATTAATGAAATTATTGAACATTCACCATATCACACCAGCGCCATGGAATGTACTACCTCAATGTTAAGCACTAAAGTTTGATTGTACATAGGACCAGTTAACAAAACACTTTTAGTTCATTAGACTGATCATTAAATTATAAATCTAGATAGATATAATAGAGAATGGTTCTTGCCAATTATGAATATAAAAATCATAAATCTTCTTCAGCAGTGCAATATGTTCATAATGTAAATATTAAATGTCAGCCTCGCTTATCAAATACAATATAGCATGCACTAATACCAACAAATACTATTTTATGAACCCTGACATATACATATTTTTACAAATTTATTTTATTTTACACCCTAGATATTTGGTACATCATAAATCCAAGCAGCATCATGCCTTACAATGTTATGTTTCTTGTATTTTTATTATAAAACTAAAATTTATAAAGAAATTCTTCAATCAAAGAACCCATAACAATGTTGTTTAAATTCATAAATAACATAAATGACAAATTTTAAAATACTTGAGGTTAAAAGTAGAAAATTTCTCGTATTAAAGTTAAATTTTAAAAAACAAAGTTAAATTTAAATTTTTAAAAAAGATATTCTTCAATCAAAGAACACATAACGATGTTGTTCAAATTCATAAATAACATAAATGACAAATTTTAAAATAATTGAGGTTAAAAGTAGAAAATTTCTTGTATTAAAGTTAAATTTTAAAAAACAAAGTTAAATTTAAATTTTTAAAAAAGAAATTCTTCAATCAAAGAACACGTAACGATGTTGTTCAAATTCATAAATAACATAAATGACAAATTTTAAAATAATTGAGGTTAAAAGTAGAAAATTTCTCGTATTAAAGTTAAATTTAAAAAAGTAAAGTTAAATTTAAAAAAGTAAAGTTAAATTTAAATTTTTAAAAAAGAAATTCTTCAATCAAAGAACCCGTAACGATGTTGTTCAAATTCATAAATAACATAAATGACAAATTTTAAAATAATTGAGGCTAAAAGTAGAAAATTTCTCGTATTTAAGTTAAATTTAAAAAAGTAAAGTTAAATTTAAATTTTTAAAAAAGAAATTCTTCAATCAAAGAACATGTAACGATGTTGTTCAAATTCATAAATAACATAAATGACAAATTTTAAAATAATTGAGGTTAAAAGTAGAAAATTTCTCGTATTTAAGTTAAATTTAAAAAAATAAAGTTAAATTTAAATTTTTAAAAAAGAAATTCTTCAATCAAAGAACATGTTACGATGTTCAAATTCATAAATAACATAAATGACAAATTTTAATATAATTGAGCTTAAAAGTAGAAAATTTCTCGTATTAAAGTTAAATTTGCTTTTAATTTCTTTAAAGAAATTGTTTTTAAAAGGAAAAACCTAGATTTAAATTAGTAAGCCAAATACAAGAGTTTTAGGAAACTAATGAATAATTTATTTATTAATTTAAACTCAATGGGTTCCAAACTGAACAATACTAGATTAGATGTTTTGGAGAGTACCAACAGACTTGTCATTTTTATAAATCAGTCAGATAATTTATCACATCCTCACTGTCAACAAAAAAACCTTTAATTAAACCAACAAATCAATTTAAAAAAACTATTTTTATTCTTCAAATAAAACTTTAAAAGGCTCAGTCAAGCCATCTGCCATAAAGCATTAATATACAGTTAATAGCCCACATCTTTTAAAATTAATATGCGTCTATTCACAAATTACATGTATACATTTTTGAGAAAATAAGCGTGACAAGTATATACACTGGCTTTATTTGAGGATTTGAGGACAACCATTTTTTTCTTATTTTTTTCTATTTAAAAATTGGCTGTTTCTATTTATTTAGAGTGCTCTCCACTGCATAGATATGTGTTTAGCCATACCGCAATGGTGGTTTTCCTGTCATTAGTAGTGCAGAAATAAATTTAATGCAATGAGTACTAAAATTCTATATTAAAAACAATTCTAAATTCTGACATTATACTTTAAATTCATGTCATTAAAAAAAGTAATATAAATAAATTGCAGATGAAAACAGTTTCAACCGAGTCTACAATAATGCATACTTTTTTGTTGCACTTTTACAGGACAGAGAGTTCGTGGAACTTGAAGTACCATACAATGGTCAACCAAAAAGGCCAGGATCTCCTTCTCCATTAATAAGCCCAACTCATTCCGCCGGGAGCAGAACGGGGTTGTTGCATTCCTGCTGTGGGAGATGTTGTACTCAAAGATATCAGGTATGTCACCACTGACAATCTCTTCCACACCCAGCCAACTAGTACCTGCCTCCTTGCTACTAATAACCAGGATAGTTTAATTTTAATTGAAACATTTTTACCAACTTAAACATTGCTTTTAAAAGGTTCAAGATTCATAACCATATCAAATGAGTATATTTGAAACAAAACGGTTTAGGAAATTTGACATTGTTCACACCCAAAAAAACACAAGGAGAATTTTCGCCACTGTTATTTGCATTATGTTAATTTTTTGAATATTTGATACACCCCCTCTTTATAAAACAACAAATTTTGTTTCCCACTTTTTACCAAAATTATATATATAGTGAATTTTAGGAAAATTGCATTTAATTTATTATAGAACAGTATTTGCTTAATTATAAAATAGTAAATCAAAAATGGACTTAGAATGTATTTGATGTGCGTCACATTATAAAATCTTTATATACATTTCAACCTTTGTAGATTAAATTCCACTTAAATTCCAAATAGTGGTCGTCTAAACCCACTATAACTTAGGAAGGCAGTAAACAGAATTTTTTTAAATTACTCATTCGATACATGAAATATTAAACATAAAGTTACTATTTCATAATAAATGTTTCCTATTTTTACCAATCTGGGCATATTTTAAATTATTGTATTGTTATTTGTGTTTTAACAAATTTGTTGCCATTTAAGTTTAAAAAAACTATTGTAAAAGCAAATTGTTGTACGACTTTTTCTATAGATTTACTAGTTTTCCTTGTGATTATATGTTATATATATGATTATATATTTAGTTACACAGTTATATTTTAGCAATTGTGAAATAAATAACTCATACACAGCAAATAAAATTACACTTCCTATTTGATGATAATGTTCGAACAACATTAGGACCCAGCCTTAATCAATTGTATGTAATGTAGTAATATTCAAAAAATCGTGTAATTTGTCATTTCCAATTTATATATATGACTATGATATAATCAAGTTGTATTTACAATTATATTTTAGAACTAGTAGTATTATTGTATCATATTTCAAGCTCAAATTCTCTAGAGGTAGTTCCCTGGCAGAGAATAAGAAAAAAATAGTTAAATAATAACACAAATGACTGAACTATATTAATTGATCATTTGGTCAGTGTCTAATTCTAACTTAATTGCCTTTGCCACACTTCCATTGGCTTAACTGACACCAACAAGTCTAGTTATCTATTAGAAAATTGTAAATTTGTCAGTATTTAATTAATGAAAAATGTCCATTTTAATATTAAAATCACTTTTACTCGTGTTTGAAAGTATATAGCTCTTTGCATTCAATCAACCTTTTTTTTATACGATTGGTAGTACTCATAATCTTAATCCTAACTATAAGATGGAATTTTATGCTTCCTTAAATTCCACTACAGAAATATATTATTCTACAAAATTGTGATTTTTATTTAGTATTAGTGCGTTGAAAATTTAAAAATTAAAATTTAACGTTAATTTTTATCGTGTAAATGATATTACACGATGTTTACATTGACTTCCATAGTATAGTTTTACATTTAAATATTTTAACATTGTTAACTGAATGTATCTCTTGTAAGTAGAATTTGTATTTTGCAGTCTTCCATTGTAGCATTGTAATGTCTTTTGAATTCCTTTTTACGATTAATTTAATTGCTGTTTATAAAATTAATGATCATATACAGTTCTTACTAATAAACAAAAATTCAGATAAATATAAAACACAATTGAATTCAAAACATTATTAATTTGTAAAAGGCATCTAAAAAATGAAAAATTAAGCAGCAAAATACAATAATAGCAATAGGAGCATGTTATGTATATTTCAACTTTCCAGCCAATAATAATATATTCTTTTAGACTGATCTTTATCAGTTAAACTGCAATTTGTATACATTTGTTTGTTCCAATTTTTTATATATATAAAAAACTGTTTCCTCTAATAGTTACGCATAATCATCAAAAAATTTTTAAATGTAAAAAGATAAAAAGGAAAAGGTGTAAATATTAAAAAAAAGAAATGTTTATCAAAGCCTATTTAAATTGTTAATTTATTACAAGTTGAATGATTTGATCTGTTTGGTTCATTGTGGGAGATTTTTTGTTTTGTTGTGTGAAATTATGTTTAAAAAAATATGAATGAATATTATAATTCTCAATTATACATTCATCGCAAAAAAGTTTGGGAAAGGGGAAAAAATTTGATATTTATTTGAAAAAAAATGTCCATAGGCTTAACTTAACTTGTAATTTTTGTAGCTAGATAAATACAAAAGCCTTAAATGAGTTTCTTCCATAACTTGGTAATACACCACTTATCTTTTCAAAATGTTACTCACTTCTATAAAATTTAAATTGGACATTTGCGAGATGGTGTACAGTTACTGGGCATTTTAGACTTACATTTGTTGACTATCATCGATAATTATAATAGTTAAAAAACACAACTTTACTTCCCTTCTATTTATTTTTCACGTGCTAATATTAATGAATAAAAAAATAAAAAAACAGAAATACAGAAAATATCCAAATGTTATTATGTTAAATAATACACGTATTTATAACATAAATAGAAATTTCTGATAACATGGGCTTTTATTTATAAAATAAATAAAAATTTCTGATAACTTGGGCTTCAGTTTTTATACATTTTATACTTTCCCTAGTTATTTTTAAGGATGGAAATACTAAACTTTAAGTTGAAAATTATTGTTATTTAAAAGATTTCCTGTTAAATGTGTTATCATTTTTATTAAACTGACAAAAAAGATTGTATTATTAAAAATTCATACAAATGTAATAAGATTACTGATAAATATTTAAATTTATTGTCAAAATAATAAATCCTTCTTTAGTTTATTGCCTTCAGGAATTACGTTTTCTACGTAAGGTAATCAATATTTGAGAACATCAAAATCTGCTCAAAAGAAAATCAATATATTAAAAAAAAATTGCCTCCTTTAAAAGATTAAAAATATCACTTTTTTTTGTCCCCCTTATAAGCAAAAGTGTTTAAGCAAATTGATAGATAATTTATTGTTTACTTACAACAAACAAATCACAGTAATCATTTAAAATATTTTGCAACTAATCTACAAGTCTAGCGTAATTATTTTTAAAAAAAATACGTTGCTGTTATTTTTAAATGAAATAATAGAGAATACAAGTTCTATGATGGCCATCATTGCCAGTTTAGCTCGTAGGCAGTAGACACACTGTACGTATTACTTAATTTAGAAATAAATTTATACTTAAGATGGATGGGGAATGATGAGGTAATAAAAATGATTCATTTTCAAATCATTTTATAGGTGTTCCATTCTTAGATAACATTATTCATTTTTTAAATAATACTAGTAAAGCTTAAATAGAAAACGATTTTAGCAAAAATTGATGTAACATTATCAGAAAACATAGATGGATGCTACTAGTTTACTATTCTTTCATTAATATTTTGTAATATATTAATTCTGAATTTCCACCGAATAATAAATTTTCTAAAAAAACATTAGATTTAAAGTAACGATCACTGTTATTCAACTGAATTTGAAAAGTAAATCTTAATGATCTACTTGTGTACATCTAACTGTGTCCTAATCGTCTGTCTCATTCTAGTAGTGGAAACGGTGATCATACAAAATTCCAAGTGCATGGACAATCTCTGATATTGTATTTATTTTTCACAATTAACGAGTGATTTGCGCCCTGAGTGAATGCTCGTAAAAGGGATTTGATTGTCACTATTGGTATTTGTGAGTTTAAAAAATGTGGAAATGTTTCTCTTATTTTCATCCAATTTGAAAATATTTAAATTAATTTTTCTTTGTCTGTTTCTTTACTTCTTCTTCTTTTAAATCAAAATATGTTTGCTCAATATCTAACTCATGGATGGATTCTATTATATTAATAGATGAGGTTTATTTTCTGTATGTACATAGGTATGATTGAACAACAAGAAAGCGATTTCAAAATGATAAAAGCTAGTACAGTGCATTTTTAAAGTTATAATAACATGTACAATATATATATGTAATGTTGGTTTCTAACAAAGTATTGATATATAACGTTTAATTTTTAATTTTGATGGAGTAAGTGAAATGGTTTATTGTCAACATATTAATATCTAAATGTAAACAATTTTTATTACATAAACTGCAAACTTATCCAAAACTACAAATGAAATTCATTATTTTTTGTAATAAATTGATATATATACTACATATTATTATAACTTTAAATATATTGCAAACTTATATTTTAACTAATCTAATAAAAAGAATTTGTTAAATCGATTTTTTCATTTTTTAAAATAACATTTCCATCCATCTTATGGAGATTGGACTCTCCATTTTTGCTTTCAAAAGCTATGGAAATTTTTCATTTGGTTGTTATAGTAATGTTTAATTTTTAATTTTGATGGAGCAAGCGAAATGGTTTATTGTCAACAAATTAATATCTAAATGTGTTATAGAATTTTTATTACATAAACTACAAAATTGTCCAAAACTACAAATGAGATGCATTATTGTTTTATAATAAATTGATAAAATATAGTTTTTTAGACTAGTTTATTTTTATTGTTAGTCGCAATATTTAATGCAAGGGCAGATCATTTTGTTTTCTCCTTTAATATTGTGATATCCGACAAATAATTAAGTTGTTGAAATCTAATGGTAAGGAAATATTAGGTTAAACAAGATTAACAATAATAAAAATTAAGTTAAGCTAAATGCTCAAGTGCACCACAATTATTTAATTGAATAGTCCTAACTTGGGCAAAATTCTGTACATATATCTCACTGTAATCCAAAGCTTATTGCAATATTTGTCTGACCTATCATGTTCCAATCTTACAGCCATGTTAGAAGTTAATCATTACCAACTAGCAAATAAAGTAGGATTTACTTAATCTGTGGATAAGAATTTGAATTTTTAAAAACTTGTAAATAAACAATAATAGCTGCAAGATTTGAAAAAAGTGCTTTTTCAAATGATTTTAATTTTTTTTTAATTTTACATATAAATTGTTACAACTTTTATCTACCACTTTTATTTATTTATTATTTTATTTGAACATAATTAAATTTAATGAAACTATATCTGATGATTTATTTTTTTCATTGGGATTTAGCCAAATGGTACATGTCCTTTTTTTAAGACAATTATTGACATTTCGCTCGCTCCGCCAATTTTTATTTAATTGTGTACAAAATTGTTTCTTTATTGACACATTTTTAAAACACAAAATTGTTCAGTTTCATAAGTGTTTTTGTGAAAATTCTTTAAATAAAACTTGTCTGAAGAAGAGGAGCTGAGGGTATTCTAGATGGCTTGGAGCAGTTGACGTACAACTTGGTACATGGCCCGGAATAAACAAAAACGTGTAAGTTGACTGAAAGCAATATTTTAAATTTGTTATTGGCGGAGCGAGCTTGCCTTTTTTCTTTTCATTTCTTTTTTTTTCTTTTATTTAATAATTTATTTTATTAATTTAAGAAAAATTACACTTAGTTTCAAAATTGTTTACTGAACAAAAAAATTTTTTAAATATTTTTTTATGGACTTATTGAATGGACTTTATTACTAAATACTCAATTTTGTTCAATGCTGTTTTATTTGAAATATGTTTATTTTTGTTTTTAAAATGTTGCTAGAAAGAAAGTTTGCATATATCTTTAGTTAGATAATTTATTAGACAAGACATTGCGATGCCTTTTTAGTAATATGAAATTTGTTGATGTTTTTTCAGAAGCATAGGAGATGTGAAAGCCCAGAATCAACGACTCATGGAGAAGAACTAAATGATATTCAAATTAGGCTTCAATTTACAAGATCACCTTTGATAGAGGGTTCGAACGAGTATAACACAAGAACCACACAGAGAACGAAGGCTAATGCCGTAGGTGTAAGTTCTGCATCTCTAGTATCAATTAGTAAACCTAACTCTACTACCTCTTCCAATATGACTGCTTCAGTTGTTGTCAATCTTCCTACTTCATATCCTAACTCAGACATTGAATACGCCTCCCCTCAAACACCATCGTCCCCAGCGCAGTCAAACGATAAACAAGAAGTTCGGATCTCATTTTTATAATATCCACAACAACAAAAAATTTATGACCATTTGTATTTAGTTATAGACAACTGAAATAAAATGTGTGCCTCTAAAATTGCATACAAAGTACATTGTTGAATACTTGCCAGATAAATTGGCTTATAGATCAATACTTCCATGTAGATATTTAAAAAAAATTTTGGGTAATTAAAAATTTTGATTAAGCATTGTGCCTATTAATTACCTTTCAATTAGACTGAAAACTGTTATCCATATACATTTAACTTGGTTTTTCAGCACATTTAGAACTATTTAAATTTCATTACTATTGACTGTTAAATTTTAATTTTTCCTGCTTTGCTACTAGCCAAATTACACTTTTGTTAAAATTATATTGTTTATTAATTATCACAAATAATAAATTTTTGTTTTAAATAATTCTTTTATATGTAAATCCATTTTGTCCATGTAGCTATTAAACATTTCACAACATACAATTAGCCTAAGGTTAGAAAATGAAACAGTTATCGTGTTTTACAATTATAACATTTTCATCAACTTTTGAATGTACTCTTTGAACATTTAATGTTTGTAAAATGATTAAATACATTACAAGACTGTTCATATATTTATCCGAAAGTTTAAAAATTTTCCATGTCGGAAATGTGCTGTCCAATGGAAGATGTTCCATATAAAGGCCATCTGAAGACATAACTGGACTTGCCTAAGTTGCTTATTAAGAAAAGTTGCTTCTTTTTACTTTCACATTAACCACAATGAATTTAGACTCTTCAAAAAAAAAACTTGTTTAAATTATAAACTAAATACATCATTGAAGTGTTCTTTTCTGAATAACTCATTGTTCATCAAATTACACTCTAAACTGCTTAATTTAATAAATCCTTGCTTGTTGGATGGCACTTTCAACGAATTCAGTTTTCAATTTTAAAGTGAAGAAATGTGAACCAAAAGCAGTGAATTTCAAAAACGTAAAATTTTTCCTTTATTCCACAAGTACAATGCAACTTAACAAAATTTTATACAAATATTCCTAAAATAAGAAGCATCTTTCATTATGTAAGACAATTTAGGTAAAATTAACACCACAACTGTTTCAAATAAATAGACCCATTTTTTTGTAACTATACTATATGATATAAAGATAATATTCAAAGTTTGTTATACAATATTTACATTCAAAAACAGGGTACAAATGTCAAACTTTGTACTTTCCTTGGGTAAAAAGCAATGAAAACAAAGAACTTGAATTTTAAAAACAAGAGAGTAAAAATCTATGAAATGAAACCTATTATTTAAAGAACACTAATAATTGAATCAAAAACTCATTTGTATTACAGAAATAATTAGACAATGAAGCCATAAACTGATAAAGTAAAACAAAAAGATTCATTATGAAATAAGGTTCAGTTTTACAAAAGTGATTAGGTTCTAAAGGCACATCTAGCGAAACTCACTGGAATTGTTATGAGTAAATTTAATTTTTCCTATTTTCATGCTTCGATTTAAGCTTTCATGTTTATACAATTGTAACTCGTGACTTTGTAAAAATGTGGTGAACATTCCTTTGAAAACTGTATTTTGTAAATACAAACATAAATAAAAAATGTATTCAATATACAAAGAGAGAAACCATTACATACAAAAAAAAAATGATTTTCATATATAGAAAGTTATTTCTTACAGTTATGTTACCTTGTTAGTATATTTTATAACATCATCTAAGTCTATTTTATGTTGGACTAATAATACAAAACCATTTGCATTTGCAAAGGTTACGTTGTACATTTGAAATATAGTGTAATTTAATAAATTGTTCAATTTTATTTTGTATTTATAATAGAAGTCCTAGCAAGATTGTACTACTTTGCCATTCTTTTCCTTTCCTTCACATATTTTATTCCTACTAACTCCTATGTCTGATGCCGGGCCAAGTTATACCCACATCAATAGGCTTAGGATGTTAAGGTAACCTCCCTCAGTGCATTGTCTTAATGTGCAATTTAAAAAAGTTAATCTGGTCATATTGTCCCAGTATTCGATATTCCCCAAGGTAACTGGAGAAGAAGCATTCTTGGTAAAAAATTACATTCATTCACTAGACTTCATTCACACTGCCCAAGAGTACGAAATATTCCTTGGAGTATCTACATTCATACCAATAAATGACATTCACTCACCAGACTTCATTCACACTACCCCAGACTACTAGATATCTCTCAGAGTAATATGAGAAGAAGCCCATCAATCAGGTATTAAATGACATTCACTCACCAGAGTACTCATTCACACTGCCCAAGAGTACAAAATATTCCTTGGGGTCTGTACATTCAGACTAATAAATTACATTTACTCCCCAGATTTCATTCATACTGCCCCAGACTACTATATATTCCTTGAGGCCTCTACATTCACACTAATAAATTACATTCACTCAGTATATTGATGCAAATAAAAATGTTTCTCATTCACTTTTTTCATTCAAACCAATAAATACAATCACATAACCTGTATATCATTTATTCATGACCAAAAACTCGATATTCCTCGAAAATCTAGGTGTCTGACTCCTCCATTGTCGCTAATAAATACATTTGTTTCAATAATAATATTAAGACACAAAGCATCATACGTTTAAAAATAATAATAGCCCTGAGATATTGGATAGATCGAAGTTCATTCTTTGTACACTGAATTCTCTGCAATCCATTATTATATGCCCCATAGTGATAATTTCCCTATATAACAGGTTGGGTCTCACCTGGTATGATTACTAACCATCTTACTTGGTGACGTGATATATTTCATGGGGCACGTTTGTCCAAACATCATTTTATCCTCATTGTTTCACCTGGATGATCAGAAATGACCAAACTTCTAGTTCATCACCCCCCCCCCATACTTCAGCAAAAATCTTGCAGCCATTTTAAATCCATTATCAATGGATCTAGGGGTCATATATCAGCACATTCATCAATGAAGGTAACTGAATTTTATATAACAATTAAGTCGTTCAAAATAACATACATAGGTATCATTAAATAAAAAGCAGCTACACTGATGTATATGTGTATCGTTCAGGTAATCAATTTTTATTTTTAAAATACAACTAGTCAAAAGATCGATCGCATGACTAAAGCAGACCCATAGCTACCAAAAGGGGAAAGCTTTAGTAGTCGCACATGCAAAACAAACTTTTGTTAAAATTGTCAGCAAATATTGGAAACTATATATAGCAAATTACAAGAAATATTAAATATTTAAATGAACTATAATGTACAAAGTTTAATTTTTTATTTTACATTTTGTCCAAAGACTAAGGTTGTTTAACCCTCTAGCACGCTTGGTATTTAAAAATACCACAGGATATGCGGAAAATTTATTTTTGTAACTAAAGGACAGTCTGCTGGGAAGAAGGGGTTCGCACCTCATATATCCTAATGGGTTGTCAGGAAAATAATGCAGGTTTATGGTTATAAAATAAAAACAATTAAATAAATTATTTTAATTTTTTTTTATTAATACCCTCCATCACTCCCAATACGCTTTTCCCAATGTGATGGCAACTTCTCTATTCTTACTGAATAGACTTTTGTGTCTTTGTTATTAAAAAAATTATGTAAATGCATTTTCTAATGACTTTAGATTGATAAAAATTTTATGTTGTAAAACGTCTAGGTGTCTGAAAAAATTATAGTCAGCAGCAAGAGGTCTAGAGAATAGGGAGAGTGAGGTCAAACCTCATAAGTCATAACCAAGATCCAACAGATTTTGTCGTCACATGTGGGACATAGGGCCGAGGGTTGTCATGCAACATAATTGGCCTTTTCTCATTGACCAAAGACGGCTTCAATAATATCAACTCCTGGTGCGTTGTTTCAATTTAAGATCAATACATCTTAGCATTGATTGACACAAGGATTCAAAAAGCTGTAGTAAATCAGCCCAAATGAAGCCCACCAGTCACCATCACGTTTTTTTTTATGAGTTTTGACCCAGTTGGGGGCTTTGAAAATTGTAGTGCTGCTTCTCCTTTGTTGAGCCACTGTCCAGAACATCTGTTATCGTAGAGAATCCACTTTTTATCACAAGTAACATTCTATCCAGAACAGGTTCGTTTCTATTTCGGCAAAGAAGTGCTGCACAAGCTTCATGATGATTTGTTTTTTGCTGGTCAGTTAATGCACGAGGAATCTACCTTTCGAGCTTTTTCACCTTTCCAATTTCCTCAAGGTGGTCAGCTACGGTCAATTTGCTAACTGAAAGATTTTCAATCTCGAAAAGTTGTTCTGGGATTTTCTTCAATCAAGCCCACAGAACATCAACTAGGAAAGAAATCCTTTCATGCATCTGACCTGGATCTCTACCATTCTACTAACACGGAAGCGCCTATCACTCCATTAGAGGAATAGGGAAAGACAGAAGAAGCTGATGTATTATCACTGAGGCTGGACCTCGCTGAGGGATCATAGCAAGGTTCAGAGGTGGAGTACACAGCGTTCTAAAACGGAATATCACTTTAAGTAAAAATATCCTTTGCCCTCCTGAAAATCAGTCTTACCACAAAAATCCTGATTACTTCTTTTGTTACAGAGTACTATTTAGAACATTATATACTTTTATATATGAATGAATATGGCCTAAAATCTCTATTTTTTGCATTATTTCTACACAATTTGTTTGCTATTGTATTACTTTTTTTTTTGTTTTTCTTTGATTTAATTTTTCAAGACTTACAAAAACTCAATTAGACTGAGGGAACATTCTATTTTACAAAACTGAGTGTTTTCAAAAAATGAAAAATTTGTTATTGAAACTTTTATATTTTCTATGTTTAAATGTTAAAAAAATGGTATCTTTCTTTAAAATATTACATAAACTTGTTCATTTTGTTTTTATTGGCCTGCCATCAGGTTTTATCCACCAAATACGTTGCGAGTTCCCGTATGTGGCCTTCCGGAGGGTTAAATAAAAAGTAAATATACAAACATAATACACACATAGTTGAAATGTTTTAATAATTAGTCTTCAACTGTATTTAAATGTTTGCAACTGGCTTCGTCTTCTAGTGCTTTAATTATAAATGGTTAGGAAAACAAATTAATATTTCATAATGAATATATACATTCTATATATATATTTCCAGTAATACAAAACAAACATAAATCTACTTATCTGTATTTTATGGCCACTTTGTATGTAATATTACCACGGTAAAAACACAATTAAAATGATTGCTCTTGCTTCTAACAGGTGAATTGCTTATATAAAAAAAAATAAAAGTAGTAAGCTAAATAAAACTTGTTTGGTGTAAAGATTATATTATTTAATATCAAACTGGACACATAGCACAAAGTAATTTTGATTAAAATGTTCAAAATATTTTAATCTTCATCTTTTTGAAAGAAAGGTTTCAACCTGCAATGCAAAAAAAAAATTATTTTATGTTATTAATTTAGCACTAGATATGTGTGTGTGTTGTGTGTGTGTATATATATATATGTGTGTGTGTGTGTGTGTGTGTGTGTGTGTGTGTGTGTGTGTGAGAGAGAGAGAGAGAGAGAGAGATTTTAAGTGGTCCTTGGTTTAAAGTATTTTTAAACTTTTATGATATAAAGTACTGTTTTTCCCTCTGGGGTCACTGTTGTTTTCTTCACGAGGTTCTTTCTTTACTCAAAAATGTGCACCTACTCTTAAGGCTGGATGGGGTCATTTGTAGGAGACTTCATCTCCAATCCACCTGAGTGGTCATAAAGGCTAGTGTCAAAAATGGAGGACGGCACAATCAGTACCTCCAGGTCCTAATTGCCAGTCTCTGTGAGTTTATAGGAGGAAGTTCCTATCTCAGTGCATACTTTGGAGTATGCTGATTTGTAGTTCGAGGAATGTGAAAGCTGCCTTTGCAAGTTTTTTAGCCTGACCGTTGCCTTCAATCCCCTCGAGTTCTGATTATGTTTTCCCAGAAAAATATGTTAAGCATCCCAAATCAGCTTTGACTAATAGGTGAAGGAGTACTGTTTGGCTATTTGAGAATATGTATACCTGTACACCTTTTAGTCCATTTTTTTAGTATTTCTTCTGCCCAGAGTTCTACTGGAATTTCTCAGGTTAAAAAATTGATGGTGTGGGATCTAGAGGTTCTTCTAGGTCAAAATTTAGGTCTTTAAGCCCTGCCCCCCCACTCATTGTTTTGTGTCCATCAGCGTACCATAATAAACTGTTGTTTCCATTTGCTTCACACCTGGAAAAAAGTGAGCAGACCTCCAGGGTACTATTAGCATCTTGTGTAACTTATTTCTGCCTTTAGTATCAAACGTTCATTATTGTCATCCTAGAAGATAGATAGAAGTTTTTGTGCTTTTGTCTCTGTGAGTAGTTTCTCCATCCTCTCACGTAATTTTTTGTAAGTAGAGTGTATGTAAGTAAATTAAAGTTTATTGGTTGTTTATATTGTCTAATCCACACACACGCACACATGCTATCACACGAACAATTTTACTTTGACTAAAAAAGTGAGACAAATTAGCCTTACCTGAAAAATAATTTGATGAGCTTAGATGAAGTATCGTTGGAACTAGTTTCTTGTAAAGCAATGTAAAACTTACTCAAATTTGTTTCAAATTCGTTAGTCAACTGATCGATTCTCTGGGAAAACGTTGGGTACTTTTCAGTTTCTGTTAAGGATTTGATGCCCTAAAATAAAATAAAAAATCAAGATTTAAAAACTATTTTATACAAGTTCTGCTTATTTTTAATTATATTTAGGTTTTGTGGCAGAAATTGGACTGCAAGAGCTTTATTTGTGCCATTCCATATGAAAAATAAAAAACCTGTGACAAGTGTGGAAATTAAAAAAAAAAAAAAACACTGTTAGCAGTTAATATATCATACTCATCAATGAATAAATTTTTTTTAAATATACATACAAAGTAATTGTACTTGAATTAAACTTTTTTTTTAAGTTGTATTTTTGAATTTTGGGCCTCATAAACACACACGTTAATATGTTAGGTCATATTTCAATTGAAAGTATGGAATGATTTTTATAGTGTCTAATAATGTTAATTTTCATTATGATATAATAATTTTTTAAAGGATATTTGATTTATTGAAAGGATGTGAAATTTAACAATCAGCTGGCAATACATTAAATGAAGCATTGCAAGACAAAAGCAAAAATACAACATTTAACATGTTATTATTTAGTTGCCTATTTCAATGTATATACAGACTGACAAATGGGATAATAAGGTTTTAATGTTTCAATAAGATTCATAAATGTACAATATATATATATGTATATATACCCTTGCTTTCCAAGAAATTAATTGTTAATAATTTTGTCCCCTAAAGTTCATGAAGTTTTAACATCTAAGCTACTATTTCTCACTTATTTTTCACCGTGTAAGCAAATTGTTTAGGCAACAATTCTCCTCATGCAACAATGATGATGAACAGTAAAGTGTCGATGGGCAAAGCAAGTGAAAATTTTAATTTAGTGAGAGAACACAAACTACCTCCAGTTGTGATGAATCAGAATCAGTCATATCAGAGTCAGCTTCCATGTGAATTTTCCTCATTCTCTATGAAAGCGTGTAGAGAAGTGATAATAAATGAGTTAATTACACATATAGTTGACAAAAATTATGTTTAAAGAAATTAGCACATGAAATATAACTTTTAAGGACTGAAAATGATATAAAATAGTTCAAAAGATACATCAAATAAATTGTAAAGTTCGCTAAACAGAGAACACTAGATAAGACAAAAAGATATTAAACAAGAATCATTATACCATTACATGGGATCTATTCAACAGTTGATATTAGCTTTAGTATCGTGCTATAAAAATATTTATAAAATAAAATAAAGAATCTACAGAGCATAATGACACCGTACATGCAAGGAAACCATTTACAGTTCCATAATAAACGTAGACTATGTGACCAAAAAGGTAAAAATTGTTCTAATTCTAATTATTTACAGTTTGTTTATACAATATTTATTTTGACTTTTTAAATTAAGATGCTTCAAAATTCTACAATCCCAAAAAATTTAAAATTATCACCGTATTTAATGCATTTTGCAATGGAACCAAATGACATAAAAAAATCAAAATAAACCATAACTAAGGTACCATAAATGTATGCTAGTCTAGGTAGTATGACATGCTAATTTCTATTTCAACTATTTCTGACAGTTTTGATTTTATTATTTATTTTAATTTATCTATTTATTTTAAAACTGCAATAAAGCCGTAGTGGTTCCATTTACCAAGAAAATGGCACTAGGAGGACATTAGCCACTTATGCTAAATTGAGATGTAATTCCCTTTTCTAAAGAAGTTAAATATACAGGTGTGATCATTGACCAAAGACTTTCTTGGAATCAGCAATTAAATAATGTAACACAAAGAATGAAAATTACTGTTGGCAGATGTAAACATCTTTGTGGGAAAAGCTGAGGACTAAATCCAAAGATGGTATATACAGTGGGTCCTAGAACTAAGGACTAAAATCTAAATTCTTGGGAAATATGCCACTGCTGGTGGTTTGGTGAAAAAAGACATTACAGCCGAGGGAAGTCAGGATTACCAGTACTAATAGGATAAAAATAGTACAACTTAAAAAAAGGCAAACCACAGAAACTTTAGAAAGAAACTTTACAGAAAAACCAACCAAAAAGAGGTTGAATATTCAAAGATTTATTTACAAAATCCAGTAAACACATATGAGAGATATTCACCTCTAATCTTTTAAAATGGACCAAACATTGTTGTAAGATAATCAATGGAGGATTGTCTGAGAGATAATTAAAAATATTACGGGTGGCCATTTTTCCCCCCTCTCAGTGTAGATCGCTCTAAGACCAAGTATAGGTCAGGAGCTGGTATCTTGGGTAATATGCAACTGTCTTTCATGAGGAAACTATGGATATTGAACACTGTGCCAGGGAGATCAAAAGGCTGGATATTACCAACAAAAGAACTGCCATTTAAGGTCAGCCAGGCGGATTAAAGACCTCATCAATATCAAAGTCCATAGTTCTATGGGAACCATAGCCATAGTATTCATATAAGCCTTGGGCAATATGCCACTGACTTTCAGGAGGAGACTGTGGCAATTGAACCAGGGAGATCAAAAGGCTGGGTATTTTCAACAAAATACTAGCCAACTACAAGGACTAAAAGCATTGGTAGTAAAGTCCAGAACTGTTTCAAATTACAGTAAGACCCTGTCAAACACTGTAGACAACAACAAAATTACCATTGTTTGGGTATAAGGGCATAAAGGCCGAAGGGGAAACAAGGAGGCTGGTAAATTAGCCAAGGAAAGTTCAATAAGGACACCTATATGATCTGAACCCTTTGGCAGCAGATCAAAAGGCCAAAAACTTAGATCATCAGACAATGGGTTAAAAAGTACTTGGTTCAAGGGGACATGTAGATGTAGATGTAATATTTCAGGGGTATGGTATACTGCGCCCTTTAAGAGCTAAAATTTTTGTGGAATACACAATTCTTCAAACGCCACTCCTTGCACCATACACCTCTCTTGAGCCTTTTCTTGTGAAAGCAATCCCATGCAATCACCCAACCAACAGCTGCTAGCTACAATGTCACCAACCTTTTATGCCATGATGAAATTTGCAAAACCTTGAGAACAATCCAAACCACCACCAGTCAACACAGAACTAGGCCTTGACAGTCCAAGCCTCGAGGAAATCCTCTGTATAGGCGCAAGTTTGCTAGAGGAAATCCCAGAGGCTTTTTCCTTGAGGATTGCCTGTACGTGTACAGCTACCTTTAGCAAAGCGTTGAGATCTGACCTGATAAAAAGCCTTAAGCTTGGTTGGTACATTGGTCATAGTGCATAGTAGTAAAGAGGCTGACTCATTTTAGCTTTAACCTTAACCTAAACCTTACATGTTTCAACTATTTGGCCACAATAGCCATATATATAGCATACATACTCTCAGAATGTAGACCCTGTGCCTGTGGGTCCATCCCACAACTGCTAATTAATATATAATTTTGCTTGCAAATGTATAAAACAAAAGCCCATAATAAAAATTAATAAATTAAAAGTGAACCATCCCAACCATTTAACACTTCTTCTAAGCAAACTAGATATACACAAACACACTTAAAATACAGATTAGATATTGATTAAGGCAGTAAAACATAATTTTAAAAAATCGCTCTACTTTAAATTTTATTAAAATCAAAAAAGGAAAAATAGATGCAAATTTTACCTTATTCGTTTTATTTACTAATTTACTAAATTAGATTTCTAATAAATAAAGTTAATACTGGATGAATTAGCTTTGGCATATTAATTGATCATAAATACAACAAAACTACTTTTTCTGGTAGTTATTGGCTATATTTAAATGCAAGTTAAATAATAGAAAGAAAATATGTAAGTATATGGACTTGAATATTTCAAGTTCTATTTTTTTAAAGCTTAATATTTTAATGCTAAGAATCATAAATTTATAATTACTATTATTATTAACTAAAAATTGTAGTGAGTCTCTCAAAAGCAAAATATCATTATAAAATAATAATTCTTTCAAAACACTCCATTTCATTTCTTTATATGGCGCCGTTGAATTGCACTCTTTCAATGATAACCATTCTAAAATTGAATGACTTTTGAAGATTACACTTTTCTCTCTTAAACGATTCACGGATAATAAATACAAGCTCATGCAAACAGTCATTTAACATAAAATACTGAACGAACATTTGGGACTAAATTCAGTTATTACACAACGCAAACATACACTCACAGCTATGCATGAACATAAAATTATATCACTCAAAACATTATTTTGAATTTTCATACAATAAATGAACAAAATAAGCACCATGGATGTACAACTTAAAATAAAACAATTCAATACATTGGCTTTAAGGAATAATAAGAATAATAAAGACTTACAATTGTAAAGGTACCAAACTCAAGACAGCATGATAAAATTTCACGGAAAATTCGGAATAGTTCATAATCTCCCAAGAGGCAATCTTTTAAACTTCGGTCCAAAAAGTTCCAGTGTTCAGCAATAAGATCATCGATATTTGGTGCCTAAAAACAAAAAAAAGTTAAATGAAATGTTTTTGATTAAGCTCAAACATTTCCTAGAAATAAATAAAATTTTTAAAAAAATTATATTATATGTGTGCTTTTTTTATTTTGTTCTATTTTAGTGAAACTGTCTTTACAAGCAAATAAAAATTGCTTCAGCAATAGAAGAAAAGCAAGTACTTTATGTAACAGTGCTTGCTTATATAAGAAACTAACTACATATATTGGCTGAAAACTGAAGACTGAGAAATTTTACTTTTGAACGTATTTACAATAAAATACCTACATTTATTCTTAATTGTAGTTAAGAAGCTAGATTAAGTATCATTTTATCAGGTAACAAGAAAAGGTTCTACAGTTTTTCATTTGTTATTGCTTTAATGCGATAAATTTACATTTCTATTTGTATAGGAGGATTAACTGTTCACATCAGTTAACACCAAGAAAATAATGCATCAGTTCATAAAGAGAAAGTGTCTTGAATAATTCACTGAAAATGATAAAATATTTCCGTTCTCATGACCTCAAAACCATAATTTGTGTGTGCATATTGTATGAATTTAAGCTCGGTGAGAGAGCGGCCAAGGCAGCTTGTAAAATTTGCACTGCCTTTGGTGATGAAACAATAAGTGAGCACACTGTCCAAAAGTGGTTCAAGAAGTTCCACAAAACACAAAGCTGTGTTTACAAAAAAAGTGTGGCAACAAATCTCTTGAACCATACACCCCTTTAAAGTTGGAGCGATTGAAAAAGGGGCATAAAATGAAAAGAGGTGAAACTGCATAGATTGACTTTTGTTAACGTTTGGGAAAAGTTTGTTTAAGTCACACCAAGACGACATTCTTTGAGCTGTAATGTTCGTAGTTTCCTTTAGCTGCAGTGGAGTCTTCCCTCTGCACATGCAGATCACATCATCTGCATACATCACAACTTGAATAATTGAGAAGTAGGGGACCAAGAATTGATCCCTGAGGAACTCCTTTGTTAATGTTTTCTTCTCTCCTGGCAAGTCGTCATCCAACTTAAACTGTTACAGATCTTGAGGGTAGATTTAATATCAAACAGGTTAAACAATGAAATACACTGCAAAGGAAGTTGCTGCAACTGTTGTAAAATTAAAAATAATCATAATAAAATGGAGGCAATAGTTTTCAGCAAGCATAAACAGTTGCTGTATAAAAAGGTCCAAATTGAAGGTGTAACTATATCATCGAGTCGGTCAAATATCTTGGGGTGATATTGGACTGTAAACTCACTTTTACTTCTCATGTTAATGATAAAGTGAACAAGGGTAAAGCAGCTATCTGTACACTTCTACCTCTGCTCTATTGCCGACCAATATACTTCTCTATACAAGATGGTGGTCAGGTCAACTCCTTCATGCCCCCCCCCTCAGGAGTCTCACATACAGGGCAAATGTTACCAGGCACAGGTTGAGCAGAACAAGTTCTGAGGCTTGCATCAGACTCGCCCTGATATAAGTAAAAGTACTAGGTCATTTATTGTCGTTGCTACAATTCCTTTCCCTGGGTTTTCTTTGTATCCCAGGTAATGTCTCAATTGAGCGGTTGCTTCACATTCGAAGATGATGGCTGTTTCCTCTTTAGTGCATAACCTACAAATAGGGTCATCATTGTATATACCACTGTTATGTAGATGTTTTCTCAGATGCCAGTGACCGGTTAGTAGTCCTATCAGTCCTCTGAGTTTAGCCCTCTCCAATTGCAGCAGTGATTTTGCCAATCTTGGTGAGGGTTGATTTAGCTAAGTTTACTGCATCTAGCACCCCTAGAGTTTATCCATTTCTCTTTTTGCCTTTCTTGGATCCATTCTGTGATGGAGGATCTGTGTTTGTTTTTGTTATCCCAAGAATAGTTCAGGGCCTTAAATGGCCTTGCAGATCATCCTCTGACTAGTGCATCTGCCTTTTCATTACCCACAATTCCCTTGAATCCTGTTACCAAATATATCATTAGGTTGTTGTTTCCCCATGTTTTGGAAATTTTGGGTGCTTTCCATGATTTGAACTTTTAAACATTTCAGAGCTGGATTTGCTGGCAAAAATTTCTCGAATGTTACAAGAGAGAAGTAACAAAGTCAAATGGCACAGGCAACTGTTGCAGATTTAAAACAAAAAGTAAGAAGACAAAAAATACAGGTAAAGTTTGTAATTATATTTGGCTTGGATAAAAATATTGTTTCAAATAAAATGATTTTGCATTATTTGAAATATAAACCTAATGAGCCTAAATAGAAATGTAAGATAATACATAAGATGATAGTTTAGATTAGATTATACAGGTGTCGGTCTCTTTACGAGACCAGTAATAGTCTATTGTGCATCTCCTTTTTTAACTTTTTTTATCTAGAGCTCCTCATTAAGCTTGAGGCTTTTTACCATACCCCAAAACTTTTTCAAGAGTTCCCGTGTGTATCCTTCAGGCCCTGGCTTTTCCTCTCCCAAGATTAGGCATCTCAGCCACCAACAGAGGACATGTTCTTGACGATATCTGCACAGGCTTGTTCTGCCATATATGCCTCCGGAGTCTGCAGCATCAAATTAGCAGTCCAGTATTATTCTAGACTTGGCGTCCTAGATTTAATAGTTCTGCCTTTAGTTCCTCCAATGGCCTTTTGATAAACGTTTTCACATTCCTCTGTCCCCGGCTCTATTCCCATTGAGCGGAGTACTTATTATTAATCCATTCTCTAACGGACCCACATTTTTGGCAATTTGGTAAGCAGCAAAATGGTTCAGGGCCAACAGGTGTCCTCATTGAACTTTCCTCGGCCAATTTATTATTGGCCTCTTCATCGCCCCAATTCCCTTTGTGTCCTGGCACCCGGGCAAAATGGTTTGGTTATTTTCCCCAATGTCCGACTGGGCTCTAATCCAGTCCCGGACTTTACCGTCGAATTGGCAATTGCCTGCTTCCTCTTACATCATACTGTCCTCCATTTGAAGAAGAAAGGTTGGCTACACAGGTCGGTGTGAAACGACCCAAGAAAAGACTTCACAGTGATGGTTGAATCTACCAATGCTTTGAGAACTTGGCTATCAGAATAAACGGCCATTGCACTGAACCAACATTACTTTTATTTTAGAAGCATTGATAACTGTTTCATGTTTTGACATGTCGAACAACAGACGTTTTTCAACGCTAGTTTTGGCAAAATTATGAGGAAAAAAGAAGAAAAATATGCGTAACCGAGTGAAGATCACAAAGATTTTTTTAGTACACGAGTACTAGTTAGTATTAGTAGAGGAAATTGACGAAAAGGTTCAATAAAAAGGTGCCCGAGAATTGAAATCAATGGAATAGAGACGAACGGCCGGCGATGGAAACAAGACCAAGAGGAAAGGGGGATGACTAAACTGGCCCACGTCCTTGACGTTTTTTCCGACCTAATCACTTCTGACATTCTACACGAAAGCAACGGGCCCTCTATTCTGCCGACCGAAACATAAACATGCTCTGCCTTTTCAACTATGTCAACTATTAAGTAAGTAAAATAAGAAATAACATTGATTTTTATGTTATACGGGCGATGTACAAAGTGCTAAACAAGACATGGAAGAGACTGCCTAGGCTGGGCACTCTTCCTACTCATGTTTCATGTGATTTGTTTCGCATTTTACAATTAAACTTTTAATGGAATGTTGGTATGATTGTATTTTTGTTATTTTTGGTTCAAAAATATAGAGTTAATAATACTTTTTAAAAAAAATTCATAATCCTAGAAAATCGCTACTTAGAAAGCAGTAATTATTAATTTTATAAATATATAATATTGGAGATAATTTAAAAAAAAAGTTTCGTCTATTTTAACCATTTTAATATGATCATTCAGCAAAGAATAGCAAAAGAGATAATCAAGCTATATATGAATATTGATACAGGTGATTTATTGTTAAACTAGGTCATATACCAAGTACAGGCAAGATAGTATAATGTTCGCATCACAAATGCATAAATTTTTTAGAATGTGTGAAAATATATTTTAAGAATTGGTCCTGCCTTTTTATTTTATTTTATTGTTTTTTTATATTTAATTAAAATGAAAATGATTATTCGGAGATCGTGAGATGCGGTCTGGTGTGACGTAGGTTTTAGAAAAACATTTTCTTTATTGTGCCAACGTTTTGATCTTTATTGAGATCATCTTCAGGGCCTGGGATTTACAAACATTGTTTAAATTTATCAAATACGTGTAGAATGTGGAAAAAAAGTGAATTTATACAATGCAAAAAAAAAATATTTTTTATATTCAATCAAAGTATTTCTACTCACTCAAAGTGTTAGTTTTCTGTGTAGATGTGTCATTCTTGTGTGTCGTGTTAAGAGCGTCAGTGAGATATTGCTGTTTAATGTTTATATATAAACATTAAACAGCAATATCTCACTCACAAGAATGGCATGATTACGCAGAAAACAAACACTTTGAGTGAGCAGAAATACTTTGATTGAATATAAAAATATTTTTTTGCATTGTATAAATTCACTTTTTTCCACATCCTATTGTATTTGATCAATGTTTGTAAATCCCAGGCCCTGAAGATGATGACAATAAAAATCGAAACGTTGGCACGATAAAGGCGACTAACAGTCACTAATCACCACACATTTCTACATGAGTAAAATGAAAATAATTTTTTCACTCCCTCTCTAAAGTAATATTACTTCCGAGTTACTAGCGATAAATAAATACTACGAATAATCTGGATCTCCATGTTTGACCTATACAATAGGAATACGATTCTAAATATCTTACTCTAGATCAAAATCCCAATGTTTGCCAATTATAATATTCGGATTTATTTTGTCAAATGCGTTCGCAAAGTCCGGTATAAACTCTTTAATATATTATTAAATGCCTGAAGGATATCGGTTTGAAATGTTAGCAGTTTTGTTGTAGTAGACCTACAGGTAAACCCGTGCTGATCAGCCACTAAGACGTGTTTAAAACGAGGTGAAGGCATATCACAAATAATCCAATATAAGTCACTCTATCTGTAAAGGAAAACCTCTATTTCTTTATTTCAGTATTAGAAATATCGATCACTTTTTCACTCATGAACTGCCAGGCAGTTCGCTATTGCCAAGCTTTCGACATATTTTAAGGTCATCATCAGGGCAAAACAAATCTTAAATATGTCTACAGATTGACATATTTAAGTTTTTTTTACAGGTGATCCCAAATTTCCTTGAAGACAGACACAGTCCACTATAACAGTATTGATCTATTTCTTTAGACAAATTTTTTATAGACAATAAAATTTCCTGAATTACTGGATCACCCATGAAAACAAACTCTAAGAGAGTCGGAACAGATTTTATTTATTTATTCAAACTGGCAGATGCCCAAAATACAAATTTGTCTACATGAACAATTTAAACCTTAAATTGTACATTTGTAAAAGATCAAATGAAAAACAAATATTAAAAACCTATTTATAGGGGATAAAAATAAACATAAATTTATTGCAATCATATACTAAGCAAACAGAACAAATCATATTTTGCAGCAGTGATAGAATAAGACTTCCAATTTTAATTAAAAAGAAGGCAACAATAACAATCTAACAAAAATTAAGGTTTAAAGAATAAATTTACTTATCATTTTTTAGCACATGTACGGAAATTTCTGTAACATTTTTTTTGTTTTTGAGTACTAGTTCCTTTATAAGGATCACAAATAGAATAAAAACCTCATATGAAACTTGTGCTCAATATAGCCCAAAATAAAATTATTAAAAGGTACAAGTTTTCTAAAAATTATAGTTAATCCACTGTATGCCACTGTCCCAATATCCTTAAAAACCTCTTTAGATACTTTGTACTTTAGATCAATTTTTTATAGTCAATCAAAATTTTCTGAATTACTGGATCGCTCATGAAAAAGTCTCTCGGAAAGTTAGAACAGATTACCACTTTCGCAAAGAAAATGTTGAAGGATTCATTTATTGCCAGCAACTCGGCAGTATAGTTACTTTAGAGAGGAATAATCTGGATCTTGGTAAGGTTTCGGTGAAAAATCAAAAACAAAACAAACTCAATTATACTGCCAAACTTTTTGACCTATTTTAAGGTCATTATTACGGGAAAATGATCTTCCTCTGTAACAGTCCTTGGCGATGTTGGGACTGAGCCGGTCGTCAAAGAAATTTTAAACTATCTATAAAACATTTTATACCAATTTGTAGACATATTAAGATGGTTTTAGTTACTTGAGATAGAAATAATCTTTAACTCAGTATGGTCTTGATGAAAAAACAAATTTCAATTGTCACAATACATTTGTTGACAATTGTTATAATATGGGATTGAAACTTTTTTTTAAAGGTTTGGAGGTTGAATTGTTAATTGGTTTAATTGTTGTTGTTGGTTTAAATTGTTCATATGGACCATCTGTCCATTTAAATCAATAAAATCTGTTCAGGCTCTCTTAGAATCTGTTTTCATGGGCAATTACGTAATATAGGAAATTTTATTGATTATCAAATTTGTATTTTATTTTATTTATTTACTTTTTTAATTGCAAAATTATTGTATTTTGGGCATCTGACAGTTTAAATAAATAAAATTTGTTCTGACTCTATTGTAGCCTGTTTTTATGGGCTATCCAGTAATTCAGGAAATTTTATTGACTGTAAAAAATGTGTCCAAAAAAATAGAAGTTTTCCTTTACAGATAAAGTGACTTCTATTGGATTTTTGAAGATATTATTTGTGATAAGCTTTCACCCCTTTTTAAACAGGTTGTAGTGGCCAATCAGCATGGATTTACTCCATGTAGGTCAACTACAACAAAACTATCATTTCAAAGTGATATTCTTCAGACATTTAATTATGGATTAGAGGTAGATGTAGTTATACCGACTTTTCTAAGGCACTTAGGGTCACATAGTCAAGTAGTCAAACGTGGAAATTTCTTGTCAACTGAAACTGTGGTAACTTCTGGGCGTACCACAAGGTCAATTTGACAGGGGGAAAAGCTATATATACTATAAAAAGTTAGTGAAAAATAAAATAACATAAATATACAAGTTGTGAACTCGTGAATAGTGGAATTCGCACTCCTTTAATATATTAAAAGTATAATAAAGATGTATCTTTTTCTATAGAACTACCCTTATTTAGTTCAGTTTGTTGAACAATTAAGCTGGCAGAAAATGACTTTAAATGGTAAAGGTTGGAAGAAAGGTTAGTTTCGTAAAGGATGCCTGACAATAAAGATTTGCACAGGTTAGGGAATTATTAACTAATTCTCACTTTACTAAATAACAAAAATAATGAATTTATTAAAAGAGGAAGACAAGTAATAGAAAATTGTTTCTGGCAAAACAAGATATTGGGGATAAAAATGAAAGAAAAATCAATATCATAATGGGGGAGGCAAATTGAAAAAGCACAGACTGTTTACTGATGATAAACAGCGTACCATCACTTTTATTTATTTATTTTTAATTGGAAATATTTATGTATAAGTTTAAAAACTAAAAAGAGAATCTCACGGGAAAATGTTTGCCTTATAAAACCATGCTTTTCGAATATCCAAAACAAACAGGATGGATGAGTCAGCCGTTAATGGATTATCTAGTAGGTCTTTTTAAGAATAACAACTGCCTCTTTTCCAAGCTTTCGGCACTTTTTATTTCCATAATAATTTTTAACTTTTTACTTTTAATTTTTTTAATTTACATTTTACTGAATTCTTTAACTTCTCAACTTGCAATAAGCGTTAGTTAAGTGTAACATACTTCTTAACACATTATTACAAAATATATTCTACTCAACTTCTACTTAAAACATTAGAAATTGTAGCATTTAAACTGAGAAAAACAAAAGAAGATACTTATTTCTTTGATACATAAACCCTGAGGATGGCAATTAAAAGTTTTGACAGCTTGGTAAAATAGTAGCAGTTGTCCTTAAAAAAAACCCTCGATAACCCATTAAAGGCTGAATCATTAAAAGTTGAGGTTTGAACAAAAAAAGGCATCTTCTTAAATTAGATGTCAAACATGGATATGGGTGTATCAATTATTTAACTGTTGATCAAATATTTAAACTTTGTTGTAATGGCCTTATGATTGCATTTTATTATCACCAGAGCAGAGTAAACCAACTCAACGACACGAGACATAGCAACGACATTTGACATATTTCATAAAAGCATTTCAACGCATCTGAGTGCAGCTGGATAGTTTGTCATAGCGATATATAGACTACTCGTGCTACTAAGAAGAATTTAAGCATATTTCTATATGTGATTCCCTCCTAAAACGCAATGCAACACCCATTTGTAAAAAGATTGATAATTGGGGATGAAAAGTGGGTCCTTTCGACTATGCTCTGAGAGGAAAATTTTGAAGAAAATGCAGTGACCCCTGTTAACAATTCCAAAAACCTGATTACATTTCAAGACAATATTGTGTATTTGGTTGGATTGGAAACTATGAAAATGGTGCTTTTTAAGAGCTTCTTCCGGCCAACCAAGCCATTAATTCTAGTGTATAGTGTACACAATTAAAGCGATTAAAGTCAGCAATTGGCCAAATACAATGTGTTTGCTACTTGTTATATTATGTATTTTAGAAAATATATACTGAGATTTTTTTATTTATCGATAATGTTTCATTTCTACTTTATTGATGAGTTTTGGTACATTCGAATGTTTCTGACCTTCCCTAGTTAGTAGTACTTCTTTCCTAAAAAGCTTTTCTCACTCCTCAAGAACACACCAAACTATCTCCTGCATCTCGAGACTGGTAGAGGCACTTTATTTTTATACACACTATAAATGCATCTTCTGTATATTAGAGTAAATATTTAAACCCCCAGGAGAAAGGTTCCCAATATACCGGGGCAAGGGAGTGTTTGGAAAAAGGGGTTTTGCGATATGCAGATTTAGAGGACTTATTAGCAAATTATCACTGCAGAAATAAATTCATTCTATTATCTACCTACTGAGATTTTTTTAATGTGTGTATTTTAAATTGTTTCATTTTTTTTCTACTACACCATTTTGATCAATCAAACCCACAAAAATATCATCAGTACAACAGTATTTTTAAATAAAACCATGAATTAAATTTAAAATTATTTTCCAATAAATTATATTTTTTATATACGCTAAAATCAAATGTAAATAACGAAAATGCTCTTTTGCAGGAAAGAACCTGACCCCACTTCACTTGATATGTACTGTTAATGCTATGATCGAGAGTCAATTTAAGAGTGGTAAGTTATGTTTATATTGCACTCATTATTATATTATTATTATTATTAGGCAGTTATTCTGTAGCTTGTTCTTCTACAATCTGGTCTGAAAGTCTCACTGATTTTGCCTGTTAAGTGTGTTCAACATTACTCTTCAGTGATTCGTCTAGCAGATCAACCAAGGATAGCGAAAATGCCAGACAAAACTTGTGAGAATAGTAAGACCATGATGATCAGAAATGATCAAGCTATTATTATTATTAAGACAAATGTTTTTAAAAAAATTATGGGATGAGCAGTTTAATTTTCTATAATTCTTGAATTTTTAATAATGTAATTATAATTTGTTGATATATATTTTAATTGAGGGGTTTTTCTTTAATTACTTCTATACTTAAAAATTAGCATGATTATTAATTACAATAGAATGTTTAATGTGATACCAACATTTAAAATTAAATTTTCAGGTGTTCCAAACATATAAAAATGGACCAAAAGGATGAAACAACGGGTAGTTGCATAAGTGATACCAGCAAAGACTTATTAAATGCATTTCAGTATAAAAATATCTCAAAGTTCAAAAACATTTTAAAAGCGGAAAATACAAATGTTAATAAGACCTACGGTGATCCTCATTATGGCACTATACTCGATATAGCTTGTCGAGAAAAAGGAAATGTCGAATACATTAATGAACTATTGAAGTTTGGAGCTGATCCAAATAAAATAAATGAAACGAGAAAAAAAGCACCACTCCATTTTGCAACGTTAGCAGGAGATGAAGAAGCTGTTAAAGCTTTACTGGTCCATAAAGGAACTGACATTAACATAAAAGATAATACAGGTAGCACAGCTCTTCATCTTGCTGTAAAAAATAAACACACAGAGATTGTGAACGTACTACTCGAAAATGAAAATATTGACATTAATGCCCTGAACAGAAAAGGTAACACACCACTACATGAGGCGGCGCTTCAAGAAAATAACATGGAGTTAATTGCACATTTCTTAAGTCTGCCTGATATTGATTTGGATGTTGGTAGTAATTACGGGCAAACATTGAGAGAATTGATATCCGATCAGTACCCAGAACTCCTAAACAAGTTACCACATGAAATAATTCCCAAAAAACAACTAACTACTGATCAAATGTTTACTATGCTCAGAAATCATAATATCAATTCGTTTGTAAGTTCCCTTAAAGCCAATACAGATAAACTTGAAGCTAATGATGGACTTCACACATTTTTGCAATACTGTTGTGAATTTGGGATTCATAGTGCTGTCCCAGAGCTACTAGAGCATGGAGCAAATCCAAACACCACACACTCTGCAAATTTACATACTCCGTTAATGATTGCAGCGTCTAAAGGTTTTTGTTCTATTGTTTTATTGTTGGTTAACAATGAAAAAACGACGTATGAAGCAGTTAATAATGAAACTGCGCTTCATTGTACTATCAAGGGGTCGAGTGAAGAAAGAGGTTTAGCCGAATTTGAAATCGAGAAAAATTACATTAGTTGTTTAAAAATTCTTTTAAACCAAGTACCAAAATTAGATATAAATCAGAGAGACAATAGAGGAAATACTGCACTTCATTATGCGGCTAAACAGGGAGAGCATGAGATGATAATTATGCTACTTAACGCAGGAGCATATATTGGAATTTGCAACAAAAACAATGAACCAGCCTGTTCGGACATAAGTTACAAAACATTTATTACTTATTTAGATGGATGCATTTACACCAATGAAAAGTTATCAAGGGAAGATACTTATGAAATAATTTTCAACTATAAATGTTTAATCCCGTTTGAAAAGAAAACAAAAAACAGTACTAACAGTTTAATGCAGCAAGCGATAATTATAGAACAAGAGAATGGTAGAAAATATAATTGTGAAAGTGAACCGTTACTGTACATGACACAAAGCAGAGAGCTGAAACCTTTGCTAAAGCACCCCATATTTACTAGCTTTTTGCACTTAAAATGGCATAAAATACGCACATATTTTTATATTAACGTTTTTCTGTATACAATGTTTTGTATTTTTTTTACTTTCTTTATTTTATCGACTTACGCAAATATTAGTACATCAGTGGATCCTGTTACAAATCAAACTGTGATTCAGTATCCAACGGACGGGGGGGACAATTTAGTATGGTCATTGGTAACTGTGTTTTTAGCATTACTACTTTTAAGGGAATTTTTACAATTGACACTATCTCCCAAAAAATACTTGTTGAACCCAGAGAATTGGTTGGAAATAGGAATTATAGGTATCACAATTGCTATTTTGTTTTGTCAAAGTTGCGTGAAAATAAAACATCAAGTTTCTGCGACTGGCATTTTACTTTCTTGGGCCGAATTAGTTCTTTTGATTGGTAGACATCCTGCATTATCGACCAATATAGAGATGTTCAAAACAGTTTCTTGGAACTTTCTCAAATTCTTGGCATGGTATTCAATTTTGATCATCGCATTCGCTTTAAGTTTTCATTCATTGTTCAGAGATATAGCAGAAGATGATAATTCATTTGATGATCCCGGAGTATCAATTTTTAAAACTGTAGTTATGCTGACGGGAGAATTTGATACTGGTTCTATACCTTTTATTCACTATCCTGTCACAAGTCATTTATTGTTTGTACTTTTTGTATTTTTGATCGCAATTGTTCTATTTAACCTATTAAACGGTTTGGCAGTTAGTGACACACAGGTCATTAAGTCCGATGCTGAATTGGTATCTTACATCTCAAGAGTGAAGTTAATTTCATATATTGAAAGAACATTGTACAACCCTTCTTCGTGCTTAACTCGATCTGAAAATTTTAAAACTTTATTCTGCTGTCTGTCCAAAATTTTTAACAACAAAAAGAAAGAATTATTTTCTAAAAAAATTAATTTGTTTGAAAATGTTTCAAATACATGTGAAATTAGAATATCTCCCAACTTAGAAAACAGAGTAGAAATGAGCTATGAAAAATACACAAGCAAACAAAACAACAGAATTGACAATTTTCAAAATTCTAGTTGCATTGATAACTGTGGGATGGTTTATATGGACAATGACATATTAAGAACAGCAAAACAAATTCTTATAGAAAAACAAATTAAGGAAGAGCAGGAAAGAAATAATACACGCTTATTGGAAAAAGAACAAAAATTGAACCAAATGTTGTTCGAGTGTAAAGAAACATTGGAAAAAAACAAAGAAATGTTGGAAAACATAACATCTCTCCTCTATGAACTACATGCTAAATAATGCTAACAAAACTGTTTAGCTAATCTTTTACTCTCATAACACAATACTTTTGTTTTATTACTTGTCAATTTAAAAAAATTTGCTGTGATTTAATACGCATTGAATCAAATGTTATTTGAGTGTAAAGAAACGGGAAAAAAAATGTTGGACAACATAACTTCTCTCCTCTACGAACTGCATGCTAAATGATGCTAACAAAACTGATTAGCAACTCTTGTTCTAACAATGCAATACTTTTTGTTTTATTACTTTTTAATTTAAAAAAATTATATTAAAAAAATTGCTGTGATTTAAAACACAAAAACTAACTATGCATTTATTAAATAAATATGTTATAGTTTGTCATTATAATTTATGTAATGTTTATTTTTGTAAAGTTTATAATTTTATTGTATTATTAAAATGTAAGTAAAACTAACAAAAAATATGTATGTATATTTATTTATTTACATATTTTGTAACAAATAAAATGAAACCAGTCCTTTATAAATATCCTTACTTTCTTTTTTTATTTTATTTTTATTTTTTGAGGTTTGGGATTGGACAAGGATTTTAAAAATCATTTCCTCCACTGTGACCTATACAGAACTATTGTGGAACCCCTATAAATTATAACCAAATCTTGGATAGTGCACATTTTCCTATAAGACTAAGCACTTTCACATTCACAAAGGTTAACCGCAGTCTCTGGTTCCTCCTGAAAGAGTCGGCAAGCTTCTGTCTGCTTTGCTCATCTTCTTTAGGTGGTAGTTAAGAGGGCAGTGGCGGGTATATAGGCATATAATTTTTCTCAAGAGAGGCTGAGAGAGAAGTTCCTTTATCTTCCTTTTTGAGAGATTATAAATCTCTTAGCTTGCCTGGTGCTTGTGACCAGTGCTTGATATTTTCATTTTTCCAGTTTGAACTTAAGCACATGCCAGGTGCACCTAGTTTTCATTCTGGTCTAGTTTTTGAGAGGGCTGCCTTTTTTTTTGACTAGTTGGTCAGCCTGTTCATTTCCTTGTATATCTTAATGTCCGGGAACCCACTTTAAGGTAATATTGTTGTTTTACTAGAGCCATAAGGCAATTTAGGCACTCCCAGGTAAGTTTGAGCTTGAAAACCTACACATTTATTGTCCTCATAGCCTGAATGTCTGAGGGTATGTAAATTTGTGAACCTTTCAAATTTATTTATTTTTTATTTATTTTATTAACTCCTGTGCATGGATGTCAGCTTGGAAAATTGTTGGGATTAGTCCAAGGGGGTTTGTTACAGTGTCTTACCGTAGGGTATTGCATACGAGGAGTCAAACCACTTTACAGTACGTTTTCCCAACTAATATCAATTAAAAAGCCATGGGCTCTACTACAATTCGAACCTAGAACTGCTAGTGTGGCAAATACAAGCCGGACACCCTTATTACCGAGCCATCGCGGTCCCCTACAATATTCTAATAAAAACAATGGAATTCACACAACATAAATGGGTTGTAAACCTATACATACATAAAGAAAAACATTTCCTAGGTCAATCATTCATAAAAAGCATAAAGCCAATTGATCAATTTTATTAAAAATTGTGAGGTTGACAATGGGAAAGAATGGGTAATGGTTTGACCTGATTATCCTTTCAGGATTATAGAGACGGGATAATTAGGGAAAGGAAAGCCAAATAGTTCAATTTGATTAATAAAAATAGTGTAGCTGCGACTGAGTTTACGTTTGTCTGTTCTGTAATTCATGATGTGTTTATCTCATTTTTTTCACATCCTACATGTATTTGTATAATTTAAACAATGTTTATAAATCCCAGGCCCTGAAGATGATCACAATAAAGATCGAAACGTTGCCACGATAAAGAAAATGTTTTTCTAAAGCCTACGTCACACCAGACCGCATCAGACAAACTCCAGGTCTCCTGATTATAGTTTTAATTTTTTTTGTAAACTGTTGTATTGACAATAAAACTAGTACTATAAAAATGACATTTTATGTGATTGCAGCTCACATATGGGTGTGGATGTGTGCTAATTAGTCTAGTTTATTTACCTATATTAGTATTAATTAAATGGTTAAAAATATTAAATATTAAGTAAATGGTTGTTTTTTTATATAAATTGAAAAATAACATGATTTGGTTAAATATGAGTTAGTGTAGAGTGAATAACTTGAATTTTCTTAATATTAAAAACAATTTGAAAATACTTACATTATCAAAATACTGCATAAATTCCATCCAATGTGTTTCTATCGCTACTTCCATCATATAGTATTCAACGTTTTCCAAAAATATCATCATTTTATATCTCAAGGCATGTGCAGAAGAATATGTTCTCGATTCGAGGAATGGTAAACCTCTGATGGGTTGATTAAGCAACCAAACTCTAATTTTAAGAAGAAAAATGGTTTTAATTAATAAACAGTTGCAGGGATTTTTTTGTGTATCACTACAATAGTTTGCTACTCTTACCGGCATAGCATCCTTTCAATATATTTGCAATAAAATAAATGCCGAAATAACATTTGATACGATGAAAGCACTTTGGAGTGAAGTACAAGTGATATAGGCCACTTGCAATCGATGTGAAGTGTGAAAGACTCGTAGCCCGTCATTTCGTATTTTTCAGTATTTTGTATTTCTAAAAAACAACATAAAATTCATTATTGTATTGTGTTAGCCTGTTTGAAAAAAAAAATTAAAAAGAAGCTTGCCTATTTCATCACTTTTTTCGGATAGAATTTTATTGACTTGTTCAGATAAGGTAAGTTTTTGTAAAGACATTCTTATTTCATCACGGTAATTGTCATCATTGGTCGATGGAATTCGAATGGCCATTTCAACTAGGGTAGTTAGTCTTGAAGGTAAAATATCTGACGTTTCCTTACTAAGTTCGCCGTCACACGTATCAAGCAGTTGTACGACAAAATCTCCTTGTTCCAATAGAAAATATCGCTTGAGAGAACTGAAATTATAAATTTAAGTTATTAATCACGAGATTTCGTATCGAGGTCTATGAGGTGATGAATCTCAGATTGTTTCCAATCACCTGGTCTATGTTTCTCCATCAAACTGATTGGAAACGACCAAACAAAGTGATTACTTAATACTATTAACATTAGCAAACTTCTATTAAAGAAATGTATACTCCTATAAATTATTTAAAAATGTTAATTTGTAAAACAAATAAGTTTAAAGTATTGTAATATATATGTGTTAAACTCACATTATTCTCTCCTTTATTTTATATTCTTTTAACATGTACGATAGTAGGTGTTTGCTAGCATGGATATACGCTTCATTGATAACAGATGCATACCCAAGATCGAGTTCATTGCTTTGATACACTAGTTCTTTAATCGGTGCCAGTTTAAAATCTCTTTCAGATGATACTAAAATCATGTTTCGTTGTCAATTAAAAACAAAATACTGACAATTTTATCACAGTCAATAGTTGTTTTTTTCTTGTTGGTAAATAAATTAACTATAAATCATCAACACAAAAATAATAAATAATGTGTGGTGTCTAGAGTGACTGCTAGTTGATGATTATTTGGAGATCATGAGATGCGGTCTGGTTGACGTAGGTTTAGAAAAACATTTTCTTTATCATGCCAATGTTTTGATCTTTATTGAGATCATCTTCAGGACCTGGGATTTATAAACATTGTTTAAATTATACAAATACATGTAGGATGTGAAAAAAATGAGTTTATACAATGCTAGAAATTTTAGAGTCAAAGTATTTGTACTCAGAGTGTTTGTTTTCTGTGTAGATGTGTCATTCTTGTGTGTCGTGTTGAGAGTGCTAGTGAGATATTTATGTTTTATGTTTATATACTGGATTTTGAAGGGTGGAGAAGGAAGTAGGGATAGAAAAACAGTTTTATACGAGGAGTCGGCTTCTTTGCGGTGAAAGGAGCCGACAATGGGAAAGAATGGGAAGAAGCCTGATTATTCTTTCAGAATTATATAGACGGGGATAATTGGGGAAAGGAATGCCAAATTGTTGAAGAATTAGCCTATGTAGAAATGTTTCATGTGTGGAATGTGATGATTGTTTTATATGTTATATTATATGTTTTGTGTGATTTGATGATGATGTATGTATGTTATCGATATTGAATTTGATTAATGATATTAGCGGAGCTGCAACTGAGTTTACATATGTCCATTCTGTAACTGATGCTATGTTTTCCTCTGTTGATGTAAACCATTTCTAAAAAGTTACGTTTATGTTTGCTTTAATAGATGACGTGTTTTAGTCTGTGAGTCGGTGAACTCATGTTGAACCAGCACACGGCCACTACTGGGTCTGTCTTCACTCGCGGGGTTTTTGTTTCAGTTATTCAAACAAACTCGATTCTCACAGATGGCGCAATGCCGAAACGTGTTTGAATAACTCAAACAAAAAACTCGCAAGTGAAGACACAATCATAGATATGTTGCTTTACTCACTTATCCAGATATTGAGATGTAATTCTGATCTAAGTTGCTGGACAGTTTAAACAATTGATTTTGTAAATTATGTCGGACTTATTTGTTAGGTGGGATCTTTAATTTTGGAAAAAAGTGTGTGAATCGTTTTATAGTTTTTGAAAGCTATTTTAAAGTTATCAGAAGAGCGAAATGTGTTTAATTTATGTGATAGGCCGTGAATGAATGGCATGGATATGTATGTGGGTTTGTCTGGATTTGATAAATTTGATGTAGTATTATTAGTAATAGCAGATGGTGTTAGTGTTGAGTTGTAATTGTTGATTATTCTGCTGATTATGTGTTTACGGCAGTGATTGTTATGTAGGATATGTTTGTACATCTTTATGTTCTTGTGGTGAAATGATTCCTGGCTTAGGGTAATAATTCTGCGAAGTAGCCCTTTGGCCGTGTTTATTACTGTATGAAGAGGATGGTGTGATGTAAAGTTGAGATAGCTAGTAAGGTAGTTTTTTGGTTTTTGATACCAATCTGTGATTAATATCCCATCTGGTTGTTTTATTACAAGTGTATCTAAAATGGTGTTTTGTCTTTTCGATTCCATGTAAATTGTAGGCGTGGGTGAAAGCTGTTAGGCCCTGAAGATGATCTCAATAAAGATCGAAACGTTGGCACGATAAAGAAAATGTTTTTCTAAATCTGTCACACCAGACCGCATCTCACGATCTCATTCCTCTTTGTACATTTATTACAAATTCAATACTCTTTCAACAAACTCTTCTTATGTTATTTATGAATCAGCAATCAAAAATTGGTCCGAATACAATCCTTACCACATTCTTTGATGACATTCAAATATTTCCCTGAATTAAGTATTTGAATTTCAAGGTGTTGCAAAAATGATGGCACACGTGTTTTCCTAATCTGGTATTTCTTTTCCCAATAATATTCCACTTTTTTCCATTCATCTTTGGAAGTAAAATATTCCATTACCATAAACTGAAATAAATATGATATACACAATTTTATACAAATACGGCTAAACTGTCTGTGACGTTTTATTAACAATTTTACCTCATCATAAGGATCATAAATTTCACCGTTGAAAACCCATTTTTGCACTGATTCCATAAAAGAAACTGCTGCTTCAGAAGTGAGGGCGATGCAAATCTTTTTCTCCAAATTTGATATGGTGAGATGTGATGTAAATTCATGCAGTATGGTTAATGTAGCTGCGCCACGAGCCTCACTCTATTAAAATAGTGTAACATTATGACAAATTACAATTAATTAAGGTTTTTAGTTGAGATAAAAAAAAGTTAATGGCACGAGTGGGATTCGAACCCACAATCTTCGGCTAGATACGCCGCTGCTCTACCACTTGAGCTATCGTGACCCCGATCCACTCAGACATCAACTTCCTATCTCAACCCCACCTTATGAGTTTTCCCTCCTTTTTGCCATTTTTCAAATGTTGTATAATCGGATTGCATCTCAACGACAAATGAAATGGCCATGGAGAGTTTTAGTGAAGTGTACTTCATTTTAATTCATTAAATTCACTAATTTCATGGTCCGCTCGACCAATTAATACATTACAATTAATTAAGGTTTTTAGTTGAGATGAAAAAAAGTTAATGGCACAAGCAGGATTCGAACCCACGATCTTCGGCTAGAAACGCTTAGTGTAGTGGTGCACTCAAAATAACTCCACCACCCTCTATACATATTCCGTAAATAACCTAATTGAAGGTTGATGTAATACTCAATATAGTGCCATCAACCCTCTCACACTAACATTCATTCTAATAAATATATTCACTCTCAACACACTCGGGTACACAATTATATCAGTACTATTACGATAAAACAACCATATTTCCTCCAGATTCGGAACAGAGGACATAGATACTTGCTACTATGCTCAAGAACAATTCTCACATCAAGTGGAATCTCATTATCTGGAAGCGCTCTATACTGAGTCAAGGAATTGCCCTCTTCAATTAGGTGGGATACAATGAGCAACCTTTCTCTACATGCCGGCTTTGGCCAAAAAGTAAATGTCTGTGTGTCAACCATGCATGGTCTATCTATCAGATCTTTTGTCAGATCCTTCGAGGGCCACTTATCACAGTACTGTTGATAAGTGAGAGCTTTTCTGGAGATCCAGCCCAATTTAGTGTTGTAAGGGGGCCAGATCATGGTGGTTAAATCTGCAGGTTGGGAAGCCCCCGCCTTTGCCGCCTCGTTTCATTACCCTCCAGACACGTGTGCCTGGGTACCCAGATAAAAAACCACCGTTTTGCCGAGACACGTTCATGGTATTTCCCCAACAAGAGGGTGAATGGAAAACCTGTCACAGACAGCAGTAACAAGGCTGAGGGAGTGGGAGCAGACTAGGCAGACAGAACCAATTGTGTAAAGTTGTATTTATTTTTATTTTAATTAATCAGAATTAATTTGAGTTAAACAGGCAAAAAATCCAATACATCAATGTGGGCTGAAATTTCAATTTGCTCTCTCCCAGATGGTAATTTTTTTTTATTTTATTATTATTAACTTTCTTACAAGGACCAGTTATATGCCAATTGGAAAACTTTGGCTCCCCTGAAGGACAGCCACATTAAAGCAACTATACTTAAAACCCCTACCCACAATTATTTCTACAGACAAACTTGCTAATCATATTTTTTATATTACCCTTCTTTTCATACACTTTATATTCTGAAAAATTTCACTTGCCTCATTTATTTTGTTGGTTAAATCTACTAAAACACGTAACGTTTCTGATATGTCTTGAATCTGGTACCACAGCTCATGGAGGGTTAATTTTCTTTTCCTGTGTGCCTTTTCCACTGCTATGATAAATGACTAAAAGAAAAAATCCAATTTAATCCCATTAACCACATAAAAAGGCTGGATATAGTTTATAATATAATTTGAGCAAACAGTGTTTTTAACTTACAATAGAAACCATATTCCAAATGACAAAAAATAGAACTTCAATACCTGATAATCATGAAGAATTGTGTCTATCCCAGAAGCTAAAGCAGCATTAACGCGACCTTGAGAAATAAAATAGTTGTCTTCAACAAATTTAGCCAGGGATGAGTAATATACTGCGAGTGATATGCATTTCAATGAAAATTCCTTATTCACAGGATCTGCAAACCGATACAAAATTGTATATGTGTGCATATGTAAATTTATAATTATGCGAATGTATTTGTAAATAATTAAAATTTTGGGTGTGTGATTAACAAGAGAGTCAATGGCGGAATACTGAGTACCCCATCGGTAATAACATAAGGTAAATTGGTAATAACAGTTCGAGGGGGCTGAAATGACTTCACTGTTGGCAGCCCCTGGGGGAAAGAGGAAAAACTATTATACTTAAGAAATGCTTCTCAAACAAGAGTTTAGATTATAAGAAATTGTATATTTAAAAAATACACTCCAATGAGTGAGACATCTAAACATTTTCAAGAATAACGATGTCTACAGCCACAATAATACTAAGTTGGTAGTCGCTTTTCAACCATTGTTAAAAAATTACCTGTAAAAAAGATGCATTCAAACAGCATACCTGCATTAGCGTTAATTGAGATTGTTCTTTCGGTGCTTCCAACAGGTAAATTATGAGCTACAATGAAGTCTGTTTGTCCTCCAAGGAACGCAGTTAATAAAGGTTCAATCATGGAATTTTCTGTGCATTGATTATCTACTTCTAAAAATACAAATGATAATAAAATATATGTTTTGTATTTAATTACAAAATTGAATTAAAACAATGAGTGATGAAAGTGTAATCTAAAAATTTCAAGTTCTCAATTAGCATGATGACATGATTGACTGATTTTATCTTTAAACACAAGAATGAAGGGGGCAAACAAAAGAAAAACTCTAAAGTCACGTAAATGTGTCATGTTTGAAAGGTGGCAATCTACATAAGAATTCCAGGACTAAAAAGTAATCGTGACCATTAACAACAATTAATATTAAAAGAATGGTGAATAGAAAAAAAATGCTCTTTTAGTACTGAACACAATTCTGGTAGAGTCGGAAACACTACACTCACTCAAAAAACTGAGCAAAGAAGTTGAAAAATTTAAAACAACACTCAAAAAAGTTCAAAAGAACCAAAGAAATTAGTTCAAAAATAAATATAAAAATGATTTGTTCAAACCTTCATCACTTTGCCTTCGCCCTTCAAATTCTGATACAAAATCTAAATTCAAAAAGGGACGTTCCGCTCTCCATTCTGTAAGTTCAATTCCATACTCCCCAGAGAATTTTTTTTTCTTCTTGGCCTCTTCCATTGCTTTTTCCAACCTCGTACATAGCTAGAAATCATCACAACAACAAAAAGAAGTAAACTTACACCTTATGCTAAGGTTGATGGTATTGTAACAAACATTAAGTAATTTAAAACTTCTAATTTAAGTTAATTGATCTTTTTTTTTCTTTTTTTTTTTTTTTTTTTTAAATAACGTCCCCTGGAAAAATCAGTTCTAAAGAAAAGAAAATTAGTTATTAAGAATTAGAAATCTAATATAATACTGGCTGACTTTCCTGATGGCCATGGCCAAAATATTATTCTAATGAGGGATTGCGGTGGATGAATGGTAATGGCATCGACACGTATTTGCCATAATAGTGGTCCTGAATTCAAATACAGACACAGACCATGGCTTTTTAATTGGGAATAGTATGACAAAAGTATTGGAAAGTGGTTTGACCTACCCCCCAATCCATGATATCCAACGGGTAATTGGGCAGTAAACCCTTCCGTCTGAAAGGAATTTCTTTACTTTTGAGACCTTGCGGCCAAGCGGTTAAAGTGTCCAATTCATATGTGCTATGATAGCGTTTCCGTAAGTAGTCAAAGAAAGTGCAGTAAGGAGCATACATCCACATCAACTGGAAGCACTTTGCATCGCAGTTACCACCGGATATGAAATAAGAGAGGAATTCTTGGGGCGATTTGGGAAAATAATACATGGATCAGGTTGTAAAGGAGACAGTACTTTAACGAGTCCAGGATAAGGATTGAAGGATTATGATTGTTCTCCAGGTCTGTCATGTAGATTCCTCCTTTTTAGAAAAGTAAGTGGGACATCAAGACAAGTTCAGCAGTAAAAAACATGTTTAAATACAGGCATGCAAAATAAATACCTGGGGGATTTCTGCTGATGTTATACCTGACATACTCGAAAAAGATTTTTTTTATTCGTATTCAGCCTGAAAACATCAATATTTTTTTATAAATAATAACGTAAACCATGCAATTTCACATGCTCCATGTTCAGTTAGGCTAAAGAACAATTTATTAGTGTCAATAGTACACAAATTATTTAAAATTATAGGATCATTTAGAAATAAAGAATCATGATTGTTAATGAGATGAAACAATAATTGAAACTGTACCAATTGTAATAATTATCTTTGACTTTTAAGATTTTGTCTTTAATGTATTAAATTAAACTGAACAGTGAATTTAAATTGAACAGTTGAATGTCAATTGTGCTTAAGGCTGACACTAGGCTATAAAACATTCGGCAATTAAACTATTTTCATTGTTCCATCCACAAATTTTGCACAATTTAAAATTAAAAAGAAAGTTTCAAGTTCATCACGCAAAATCATTTAAAATACCAAAGTTAATTAGAAAATTACACATAATACACTCAGAGATTTAAAAAAATGGACACTTGTATTTTGTTGTTTATTTCAAACTAACTGTTTATTGTAAATGTAAACCAAATTAAATGAGAAAAGAAATTCATGAGTTTTAATAAAAATTATTTAAGTATGATGCTTTAAAAGAAAATTCACCAAAACACTGAAAAATCATTTAGTGATACATCAAATTTAACTAACAATTTATTACCTGATTTTGCTCTTAATAATGCTTATTACCTCATCTGGGCCATAAGTCTCCTATGCATCGAGTATAATACAGGACTGAATTTTGTCTTATGAAATAGAATACCATACTTCAACAAAAGCGGTCTGAAGCTATTCAACGCTCGTTCGAGATGGCGAACGATGTCTAACCCATCTCTTTATCATGTCCCACAACTGTCCTACAGGATTCTTGTCAGAAGAACGTACTGGCCAATGCATTGCACTAATCCCTACAACCTCCAAGTAATGGATGATGATTCGACCTTCATGCATTAATACGATGTTGTCCCAAGTAAATGGAGCTAATGGGACATAGATTACATAAAACTTCTTCAATGTACTTTAGCGCAGTCGAAGATTCATTCTGCATGATAATCAGTTTGGTACACACATAGACATTGATTCCACTCCATACCATAATCAACTACCTTTAAAAAGGATGGCACAAGAAGTGAAGCATTCTCCACGTCTTCTCCCCAGTCATATGATTGCCACAAACCAAACCGGAGCTCATCTCAATACTCATCTTTCTACTCTATGCCTTTCCAATAGTAGAGAACCCGATGCGGGATGTCTAGAGATTTAGACTATTCCCACGAAGCCTAATGACTGTCTTAGAGCTCACCCTTTACATTACGAACCATCTGGAGTTGACTACATATCAATGAAGTCTTTAAAAGATGGTTCCGTAGTGTGGTAAAAACAATAAAATAATTGTCCCTAGCTGACTTACATTCCTGTCAACCACTTCTTTTTCTTACTTTCAAGACTTGTGGCGCTAACCCACTGTATTCCATCATGCATCATAGAGTTTGACACACCCAGGACATGGGCTACTTAATGGACAAATATGACCGTCGTAGCTCAGAGCATCAGCCTGGGCGAGAGGAAAATTAATTAATAATTAAGTGTGGTGTTTAGTGACCATTAGTTAATAATTATTTGGAGATCGTGAGATGTGGTCTGGTGTGACGTAGAATTAGAAAAACATTTTCTTTATCATGCGACGTTTTGATCTTTATCAACATCATATTCAGGGCCTGGGATTTATAAACATTGTTTAGATTTTACAAATACATGTAGGATGTGATAAAAGTGAATTTATACAATGCTCAAAATTTTAGACACATCTACACAGAAAACAAACACTTCGAGTGAGTACAAATACTTTGATTGAGTCTAAAATTTCTAGCATTATATAAATTTGTATTTGTAAAATTTAAACAATGTTTATAAATCCCAGGCCCTGAAGATTATCTCAATAAATATCGAAACATTGGTATGATAAAGAAAATGTTTTTCTAAAATCTACGTCACACCAGACAGCATCTCACGATCTCCGAATAGTCATTAATTTTTTACTCAAATTTGTTTTTTCAACAACGAAAACCAATTAATTCACTCGACAACTTGGCTCTGGAAAGGATGAAATTGAACTGATTGACTTTATTTTTAATCTAAAGAGTGTAAAAAGGATTAATAACACTCTAAGGTAAACAAATTATTGTTGCTGTGTTTACGTTTTAAATCAACTATTAATATTTATAGATCTAGGTATTAGGGAAAATAAATAATAAATACAAATGTCGTTTTTTTTTTACTTAGAGTGTATTATTTTTGCTAATAATGACAACTTACCCTGTGAAGACTAGGTGGATAAATAGAAATACCCTGTTTTGCCCCTTTTCTGAACATTAGTTTAAAACTTTATTACAGCTTGCATTGGTTTTGGGTAATAAGATAGAAAACAAAATTTTAAATTGTCAACCTAAACGAATGATAAGGGTTGGTGTGTCCCGCCTAAACATCGAATCGTTTTATCAAACAAAATTTCCTATGACGTCACGACACATTTAATTGGTTAAATAAAGCTTGGATGAATGATAAATTAGAATAAAAATTATAATCAACGGACAAATGTACACGTGATGGTCTATTTAAATTCAGATTTTAAATGTTTAGCAGATAGCATTGGATTATAGAATGCAAAGGGCAACTGTATAACAATCAACATTAACAATCCAACATCATCATATCTTTTAGCAGTCTTAAATCTACCCAATCTTTCCAAAAAGATAGTTCCTACTCACAGTAAGTTGTTGTCAACGATCCGAACCCCGAGCCTACTGTTCATAATCAAATTGAAGGAGCTTTACAACCTTATGAGCTGTAAGCTCGGGGTCCGGATCATTGAAAATGACTTACTGCGAGTAGGAACTATCTTTTTGGAAAGATTGAACAACAGACTCACTCCACCATTTATTTTTTCTATTAAATCTACCCTATCCTTCCCTCACTCCGTATTTAAATACGAAGATCTTGGTATTCACTTCGACCAATCTTTCTTCTTTAATCTAGACAATACAGCGAACAAATTATTATTATTCATGTCGCTACTCTTAAGATTTTAATCCCTCCACTTCCACCCTCGTCTATACTTCCCTTGTCCATTGGATTACTGCTCCTTAATCTGGTCCCAAACTATAAACCTATATTAAATTATTAGAACAAATTCCTTATCCTGTTATGATGTTCCCATTGACATCTTGGAGCAGCAACTAAGTTTAATTTCGCCTCAATCTTGACATACTACACTTGAGGCTCAATTCTTGTAAAAACTTCTTGACAACAAGATTCACTCCCCTGAGTTTTTTTCAAATAATAAATTTCAACATCCCCATTAGCCAAACCCAATCCTGCTTACTCTTTTACGCTCCTTCAACTACCACAACTACCTGTCCGTTCTTGTATCAATAGACTGACTTGGAAACAAAATGAATAATAATATCTACTTCTTTAACAACTGTCTTGTTCAGTTCAGAAATTATTTAAAACCTATCCTCTAGTCACTCACTACCTTTCCTTACATTCCAGTCATTATATATCATACAGGGTGTTCTGTTACTCGTGTTACAAACTTTGCCAGTAGATTTTACATTCAAAATGGAACCAAAAAGTCCTAATTAACTATGGTTCGAATCTCAGCAGTTTCGAAGTTATTCCACTTTTTCTGATTTTTTTAGATTTCCCGACCTGGCTTCAAATAAACAATGATCACTCTAACATTAAAGAAGTTTGGAAAACTTTGTTGATAACATTGAAAACTACGTTAAATTTCCAATAAGATGTGATAAATACTAAATTTGTAAACATTGGTGAAATAAGCGTTTAGTAGCCAGAACTTTGAAAAATATATTTTTTTTTCAAAGTTGAAAAACTTACTATGGTGATTCTGAACTATTTCCAAACCAAGAGACCAGCAAATTTCAGAAAATGTACTCCATTTAATATTCTTTTTAGTGGTGTAATTTCTTTTTGAATTACTTTTTTTCAAAGATGAAGAAATTGATGGAGGAACAGAAAAACCCGCGGCTAACGGATTGATAAGGTGGAAAAAAAACCTTAAAAGTAATTTTGAATGGTTTTTAAACTTTTTAAAATTTGGGTTCGAAACTGAAATAGTGGAAGTGTTTACTTATTTACCAACACGACTGCAACTTTCATTAAAGGATTATTGTATTATTATTCTCCGGAATAAAAGTTTTGATTCAAAACGTTTTTAGTTATGTATGTGATATCTTGTTAAAACTATGGCTACTTTATCTAGTGAAGAATACGCTGATATTCCTTATGTATGGGTTTTGCATGTTTAATGCGAAGGCAGCGTGTCGAAAATACATTGCGGAGGGTGAAAAGCATTTCGAATCAAAATTCCCATGCTGTGGGAACTCCCCGACTTTTAATTTTCCTTCCTGCCCCTACTCCGGTAGAGAAACTTATATAAAAAGGGATGATTTGGAAATCAAAAGTCAGTCTAGTTCAAGGGCTAGAATAGCCTAGTTCAGGGGCTCAAACCACTCAGTCTAGTTCAGAGGCTTGAAAAGACTAGAGAAGGGCTCAAACCAGTCAGCCAGCACCAAGGGTAGACAGCAGACTCTTTCTGGGACTCAGCCAGCAAGAGCCAAGAAGGTCCAGCCATTGCGACAAGTCAAATAGAGTCAACTGTCGAGGACCAAGGAGGCTGCAGGAAGAAGATCCTGGAGGCAAAGGGATGATTTGGAAGCTCGTACTGGTGAGCATCATTTGGAGTAAGGCCTTTTGCAAATAAGCTCATCCCAGATTTGGAGTTGTGGCTGCTGTCTTGGTAGATTAATTAAGATTTTGTATGATTGGATTCATTTACAAATGGAAACCTGTTAAAATAAACGTTGAACGTTCTCTCTGATTTCTTAAATTCTTAAACCTCACGTTTCCCTACCTTATTCTTACAAGCTTGGGGTTCATCTTCCATCCCTTATAAGCAGCAAAGCGCTTACGCCTACTCTTTTATTGCTTAGAAGAAAGCAAGCAAATAGAAATATTCAGTCGTAGCGTGGTGGTCGCCTTGCTTGCTACAGATCGATTTCCGCTTTTTCATTATTTTTACTGTTTTATACATTGTAAATTGTATTTCTACAATGTAAGTAATAAGTAAGGAGCACCAACAGCCAGGGTTACTCGCAGCATTAGCCTTGAACCCACCTTCCCAACATAGCAGCCTTGGGTATTGGCCAACTGTTGCATTCGGCTACCTGCTGCACTAGTCCTTTTAACCAATGCAGTCAACTGACTCACGGCCCTAGACTTCAGCAAACGGTACTCTCTGTTATGGACCACTACCAAACAGCACAGACACATGGTCCTGGCCTCGATTCATTGTTTCAACACTACAAAACAACACCAGCCCTTGTCAGGGCCACCAAAAACTCCGTCACTAAACGCATCCTCTTTTTCTTTCCTCTTGAGAATTCTAATTATTTTTGTGGTCCCTTGGTGATTTTTATCAGATACATTTAATCAACATAAACATTTTTGACTATATGGTAATCCAGTCTAAATGAGCAGCAAATTTAAAGTTGACCAAACTTTGTTTATAGTTGGCAAGAACTGAAATTTTAGGGCCACGTATCATTAGTTCATAATGAATTTCATTTCATAAATGTATCATTATGAACATAAATCTATCACATTAATTTGCTAAGTGGTCATAATTGACCACATTAATTCTTCCAATTAATTATTCTTTTTATCTAAGGTTTTTGGTTGAGATTAAAAATTAAAATATAAATCTATAACCTATAATTTTATACATAAATAATGTACATATGTATGCTTGTTTACATGTTTATTTCATCATATGCATTTATTAACTAACAATCTTCATCGTCCGATGATATGATGATGGTCTCAATTTCATCCGAATGAAAAACGTTGAAACCAGAATTTGAATTTGATCCCTGTAACAGATATAAGGTTTAAATTAATTTTTAAACATATTTGTAAAAGTAACAAAATAACAATCCAATGTTTTATTATCTAATGAAGAATAAAATTAGTAAGATTTCAATAATTTTAAAGAAATGAGATGGTTAGTTTTAAGGAAATAGATACAGGTGCAAGGTTAAATGAAGCAGTTGTTTTTCTAAGAAAAAATGCAATTGATGACATCTGAACTGTTCAATGTCTTTTTTGTTCTCTCTTTGTTTATGTCTTTATTTCATAATATTTAAAACCGTCTATCAGCCTTCAATATTTTAATTTCAATTAAAAAATGATCAGGGATACGGGCTAATTGGAATAAAAACATTCAGCTCCTTCATTTAGCATACAGAATATTGAACCTTCATCCGAACTTTGAAACANAAATATTTCTTTTTATGAGAGTTTGCAACAGTAGAGGTCATATGAACCCTCGAGGGGCCGGTGTTTGAGGAAAAAAGCCCATTTGTAAGTATGTCAAGTGTTTGAATGCAGGACCGCTAAACCCAGGACTTTTAGCTTACATTGATGAGTGCCGTTGTCAATGCCTAAACCGTTGTGGCCACCAACACCCCTAGAATATCTCTTATTTTTTTTTATTATTTGGTTTATAGAATAAACCAGTTGATCTTGTTCCCCATTGTGAATAAATATTCAAAACCAAAGGTTTCACACTTATGATTTGTTTAATCTTAGTTTTAAAGTTTTCACAAAGGAACTAAAGGTTTTCTTTTTAATTGGCCTTTTCCCTATCGTGTTTTAATATAAAATTTAAAATAAATACTTTATACAGTTAAAAAAACAGTTACAGTTAAACAATATAAAGAATGACATTCTGTTTACACAAGCATTCATAAAGAATGTTTTTTCCCTGATAAACTTAAATTTCCCATTACATGCTTTAAGATTGTATCAAACATGATTTAGCAAACAAGCTCACACTAAGTAGTTATAAAACATGCCTAGAAATACCAAGTACCAAACCAAAGCTGAATATTGATTTCAAGTCACCAATAAAGAACAACAACCAATGATATAAAATATTAATACCAATCAGAATTATGTTAATAATGCTTATTATGTTAACCCAGTACAAGAACCACAATCCTGAATTCCTTGATATTTTTAATTAACTACACAAGAAAAATTGTGATAAAAATTATTGTTATTAAGCAGAAAATATCAAACTGCCACGATATTTGCCAAAAACAAAAATGACCTCAAAATATAATCCAAGGCATCTGAGGCAGGTAAATAAAAATCCTTAAATTTTTTGGGCCTTTTAGTAATTCCTTAGACAACCTGTACTAGAAAAAAAAAGATTAATTAAAATTAAAAAAAAACTGAACCAATGTAAAACCACATTGTAAGTTCTAAAAAGAAAGCCATGTTCATAATATACACAGATACTACACATAAGTGGACACCCCGACTCTAGGGATATAGGAAAATTATTAGGTGGAAGTTTATTTTTAATAGATACTAATTTTCTCATGGATTAGTATAACTGCGACCTTTTTTCTGAAAGATTTTTCCACACTGATCTTAATCGCGTTCACAATCCAAAACACGACTGAGAACGTCATAAGCATTTGAGAGGGTTGTGCAGGGTGTGAGAATTCCCAAAACATTGTATGTAAGGAAAAATCTGAGCCGTCATGGTTCATTAAATTCTGAATTTACTTTTTGCTGTACCAGTCCATTTATTAAAAATACCTTTCTTAATAAAGTATAGGGAAAATAAAATTGTCCTGTTATTGGAAGGTTCCGTTCTGTGAAATCCGACTGTAATGATATATTTACATAAAAGCTAGTCATAAAAAATGACAAAACTTCCAATTTAATGAAATAAAAATAATATAACTGGAGGGAAGGGGGGAAAAAATAGGTTGAAATCTGTGGCACCAAGTTACAGCAAGCAATCGCAAGGAACTGAACAGTAGTTATGCTACACTTGTAAGACATTACATCAAATAAGGATTATAGCAGTCTACACCATGAATCTACTTGATATTGTTTCTAAAACAAGTATAAGCTGTATCTTGTTGGGGAAAAAAGTGCAATATCAAGTGGGCCTGCATCCAACATACTTACAAAAAAAGTTTTTTTTTTTAAACACCAACACCCTGAGGGTAGATATGACCTCTGATGTTCCAAACCCTTGTTTAAAAAAACAAGTTCTGTAGTATGAATCACAAGTATAAATTATGAATGAATTTATGTGTTTTAATAGCTGCTAATAATTTATTCTCTAACCAAATTATTTTACACATGGTAATATTATATTATTCAGCCCTCCCCATTGTATAATTTAATAAGATAACTACCATGTTAAATCTTTGGTGCAGAAACAGGTACTTTTGTCGCTCGAAATGTGCGCGGAAGTCCTCATCATCATCATCATCATCCCTAGAGAAAATAATCAGTTAGTACAAATATTTATTAAGTGAACAAGAATACTTATAATTTATATAATTCTACAACTAATGCAATTTTGTACACCTTTTTTTTTATGAAAGTATTTGTAAGATTTTAATTAATATACAGTGAAACTCCTCTACAATGAACATGCAAAAAACAAATGTTTTTGTCCATTATTGAGGGGTGCCCCCTAAGCTCAGAAGGGGTTTAATGTTTTTTTTTTGTTTTTTTGTTAACACGATAAATGTTATACATAATAAATAATATGTTATATATTTCATTGAATCTTATACTCTTTTATATAAACCAATAAAAACATATACATTTACATTTTAAACAAATAAATTAAAAAGTAAATCTTAGCCCAATTCATGTTAACAACAGAGGAGCTGTTTGTTTTTTGTTTTTTAGGATTTTTGGGTCCTCCATGAAAGAGAGAAGCTTTAAAAAAGGCAAAAAAATGGAAAGGAAAGTACCGCAGAATATCCTAACAGCTATCCATGAAGTTTAAACAAAACTGTTTTTATTATTTCTCAGTAAAATATTACATGACATACCTAGTAGCCTGCCTTCTAGAAACGTTTTTGACAAGAGCCTATTTTAACAAAAAGGGGATTAAAAATGTGTAGAAATCATCTTTTTTGCCGAGGCCAAAATTATCCATCAAGAGAGGTGATTGCTATAGAGGGATTTCACTGTACTATATAAACACAAACTTAAGAAATTGTATCTAACTACAACTACAAACTGCTAATACTGATAATTATTAAAGTAATGGTTACAGAATTGGAAGCATTTAAAAATAATAATTATTATTATTAAAGTTATAAACTCACGTTCTGTCAGACAAAAAATCTCTCCGGAGCTTTAGTTTGTAATTTTGTCCATTCCCTTCCTTTGTAAATAAATAAATGTTAAGAATAAAGTAATAAAAATTAAAAAAATATATCTTATCAAACTTAAGATTAGCAAATGAGGCTGCGAGGTTGACACATGGACATTTTTTGGGTCGAAACCCATTTATGTGTCCGGCATAGTTTACGCCAGTGCAAACATTTTTATTTAACATTTCAGGAAGTGTTCTGTAATTTGGTATAAGCAGTTTTTTCAAACCCAAGAGGAATGGATTCGAGCGAGAAAGAGATGTCACTTTTTTGGTCAGTTGCTTTCAAACAGCAAGTTTTCACAAATGTACCATCTTCTGCTCTAAGATTTTGAAAGAATATATATAGAAAAAGGCAAACTAATTTTGATGAAGTGCAGAGAAGCCTCAGTGAAAATGGTGCATTCGTATGTATTGGCGGCTTGAGAGCAACTGACAAAGTGAGAGTAGAAAGTTCGTGCATACTGATGACGAGAACAATGCTAAAAAGTGATGTCTCTTTGTCCCTCCAGTCCGTTCTTCTTGTATTTACAAACTCCCTGCTTATACCGAATTTGCTTAAAGCATGCTTCCAAAGAAAAGGAAGAAAAAAGACCTTAAATTATCTAATGTTATATTATAGATAAAACCAATACCCAGGGTGGGTGATCTCGAGGCCTGCTGGTAATTTATAGTAAATATTACCGGTGGACTGCAAGAGGTGAAAGCTCAACTCTGACATGTATGTATATACATCCATGAGCAGAAATGAGCTTATAAAAATTTAGGTCAAATTTTGTTTAACTACAAGAGTAATAATTAATGACAATGTCCTCATAACAAAGAACTTAAGGTTTGCCTTAAAAATAAGACAAAACTTCAGGATCAAATAAGCCTCATAATTTTATCTACAGTATTGAATAAAAACATCTATCATACTTACTACAGAATCAATAGAATCCTCTTCAGACGTATGCGAACTGCTACTTAAGCTTACTTTAGTCTGCAATTTACATAAATAAAAATCCCTTTTAAAATTTAATAAAAATTTAAATAAAAATCATTATTTAATAATACATAATTTATAAAGTATATAACAGGGTTATAATTCATGTTTTAAAAAATCCATTCAAATTTGTAGTATAGCTGGGTCATTTTAGATCTTTTTGTTCGGCTTGCATCTTCACTAAAACACTACTGAAAGAATGATAAAAGTCGAAATGCACCTGGACAGAGCAAAACGGTAAGGATAGGCAGACCAGAATGCCCAGAGACTGGACCAAAACGTGTCAAAATTTTATCACAACCATTGACCGTTCCTCTTACAACAAAATGCTATTAAAAAAAACTTACATCCTGTGACTCTGTTGATACTGAGATTACTTCTTCGCTTTCTTCATCACTTTCTTCATCGCTTTCTTCCCCATCATCAGATCCCTGAAAATAAAACTGTTATGCCAATATCTTAAATAGTTCATTACCTAAAACTGGACGTGTCTGGTTTAGAAAGAAGTCACATTATATCTATCTTTAAAAATTAATTTCTAATAGTATGACTAAATAATTTAATTATACATTATGCAGTATTGCAGCAAAAATGAAATGTTGGTGTATTTTTTATATTTCTTTCATTTCAAAATGTATTATGTAACATTATGATACATATTTATAAATTTCTCTCCCAACTTTAAATAATCATTAGCAAGCTCCCGAGGCAATCTCCGCTTTATTTATTTAATGGGATTATTGAGATGGATTATGTTGGACATGGATTGGGCTAATAGGTTGGGGCGAGTAAAGAGATTTTGGTAGGGAATAATTGATTTACAAAGGATATTTTGAGGTCATTACGGAGACAGTGGGGAGTGCTATCATTCTGAGGACTTTGAATTGGAATGATTAAATTCATTGGATATTGGTAGGTGTATGATACTATAAAAATCCCTTTTGTGAGTACATTTGAAAACAAAAGTTAAGCAAAATATTTCTTACCGAAAATGTTTTGAGTGTTAAAGAAATATTACTACTACTGACTAACTACTACACTAACATTACCCAATTATAACTTAAATATGTCGAATCAAGTGTTTTAAAAACATTTTGTTAACCCAATGCAAAAAGGAATTTTATTGTGTTCATTCAACAAAATAGGTAGCTTTTTTTCTGCCATAATTAACCATAATAAAAATTTAATTACTTAAACTTCAAAAGTTACTTGTTTACTAAACTTGAAATTTTGGTCAAATGGTTAGCATGCTAGGAGTTCTGGGTTTGAATCTGTCACATCCCGTTGGAATTTTACTTATTAATAACTTGTCTAGCTTTTTTTCCGTCAAATTAACACTTTTCCTCTCCAATATGAAAATTAATTTCAATTAAAATACAGATTATATAAATTTAAATATAAAAATAAAGAATTATTCTTTTAATCTGATTTTTAATCTAAAATACTTGGGCTTTATATAAATGTGACAATTAGTTTAAATTTTAAAACTATGTAAAATTAAACATATAATGCAGGATTATTCTTTTAATCTGAATTGTTTTAACATAAAATAATTTGGCTTTTATATAAATTTCAAGAAAATTAATTTAAAATGAAATTTAAAAATACATAAAATTAAGTATAAAAATAAGGAAAATCTTTTGCAAATATAATTAATAAATTCAATTTAGCCCATTTAATAAAACACGTAAGAACATTCATAACATAATTTTGAAATTAATTTCAAATTAATTTTCATTCATGTTATTCATTTCTGTTATGGTCATTTTATAAGAGCCCATTATTAAATTTATCTATATAAAGGATTATTCTTTTAATCTGAATTTTTTAACATAAAAAAATTGGACACTTATATAAATGATTATACGAAAATTCATTTAAAGTTAAATTTGTAAATTATGTAAAATTAAATATAAAAAGAAAGGATTCTTCTTTTAAACTAACTGAATTTTTTAAATATAAAATAATTGGGCTCTTGTATAAATGACTATAAGAAAATTAATTACAATTAGAATTTAAAATCATGTGAAATTGAATATATAAAAATAATGGATTCTTCTTTCTTCTTCTACCCAATTATTTTGTATTTAATATTTTCAAATGCAGGAATTATACTCTTTACCTGCTCCAATTTCATACTTTGTCCTACGTTTTTTCTAAACGTTTTAAATGAAAGAACGAATGAATGAAAAATTCTAAATTTATAAAGAAAAAGCATTAATTTGTCAGAAAAAAATTTATAGATAATGTAGGCTGTTTTTGCAAATGTAATCCACAACTTTGTTGACAGAATGGAACAACAAATAACAAATACTGTGAATCATTGAGAAAGAAGAGAAAATTTTACGAGACAATAAAACAGGAACTTCTTCGTCAGAATATCTAGATTATGGTTTAACTACAAACTCCTCCCGGTGCACCTGCAATGAATTGGGATCAAGAAATCATCAGACACTCCAATTTCACAATTTTGGAGTGCCTCGCCTAAGGCACAGTGGTCTAGAAAAGTTCCCGAACCCCACAAATCTGCAGTGAATACTCGCACCAACGAATAACGAAATTCCGCAGACTATTTATAACTTTATTACAGTCAATCAGATGGCAGTATGAATAAAATAATTAGAGAATGGATGAATATGTTTATGTTTAAAGAAATTCTACATCTAACATGCGTGTTGTTTCACTCATATCTGTTTACTAATTATATACTATTTATTAGTATTGAATAAAAACTTACTGAACTGTTATCTTCGTTTTTTGATAATTCATGATGCAGTGATTTCGAATCTGAACCACATGGGCTGCATGAGTCATCTGCAAAAATGCGATATAGCTTTTCTTTTTACACCATTTGATATGCTGTGTCTGAGTCTGAATTAATATATGGGCTGTGTAAGATATCTGAACCAAAGACAAATAACTTTGCTGTGTCTCTGAGTCCTAATCATGTGTGCTGTGTGAGGCTTGTGAAGTAAAGTGAAATAGTTTATCTTTTGTCTCACCTTGATCTTGCAGGTTCTCTGAATCCGAACCACATGGGCTGAATGAGAAATTTGATGTAAACTTAAATAGACTTGTCTTTTTATCATTTTGATCACACTGGGTCTCTGGATCAGATTCCCACGGGCTGTACGAAAGTTTGCCTGCAAAGTGAAAAAGATTTACTTTTTCTACACTATGAATTTGCTGGGTCAGTAAATCTGAATCGCATGGACTGTTTGAGATATCTGAATTAATGCGAAATATGTTTTGATCTTTCACACCTTGATCATGCTGTTCCTCCGGCTCTGGATCACGTGGGCTGTATGAGACATCTGAATTAATGCCAAGTAGCTTTTGTTTTTTGACACATAGATTATTTGGCATATCGGAGTCAGAATCACACGGGCTGTATGGCAGTTTTGAAGTGAAATTAAATATATTTTCTTTTTTTACACTTCGTTCATGTTGTGTTTCCGAATCTGAAAATTTTTCTTCTTTCACACTTTGATGGTGCTGTGTCTCAGAGTCACCTACGCTATTTGAAACGTCTGAATTAATGTGAAGTAGCTTTTGTTTTTTCACACAGTGATTATTTGGCATATCTGAATCAGAATCACATGGGCTGTATGCCAGTTTTGAAGTGAAATTAAATATACTTTCTTTTTTAACACTTTGACCATGTGTTTCCGAATCTGAAATATTTTCTTCTTTCACACTTTGATGGTGCTGTGTCTCCGAATCAGAGTCAAATGGGCTATTTGAAACGTCTGAATTAATGTGAAGTAGCTTTTGTTTTTTCACACGGTGATTATTTGGCGAAACTGAATCGGAATCACTTGGGCTGTACGACAGTTGCTTTTCTTCTTCTACACTTTGATGGTGTTGTGTCTCTGTTTCCGAATCGTGTGGGCTAGTTGAGACATCTGAATTCTTGTGAAATACCTTTTGTTTTTTCATACATTGATTATTTGGTATTTTCAAGTTGGAATAACATGGAAATTTTGATATAATCTGAAATAACTTTATGTTAATAATACTTATACAATAAATACATAAATATGGGCAATAGATAAATATGAGTGACTATGACTAGATGATTGACCAATCGAGTTAATTATCAGCCAGCGTCATGGGTTCAATTCCCAACATTGACATTGAAATTTCTTTCCTTTCTGATGCCTATCTACAGCACCTATAGTTGGATGTTAAGCCTATGTTTTAGACTCATGAACACAAGTAAAATTTCAATTGGAATATGGATCAACAATTTACCATCTTCCATGATTGATGTGTTATAAAATAATTGACAACATTCCACTAGATTGGAGCTCAGTTATATAAAAACAGAACATTCGCTGTGGAAACACAAGCAGCAACTAAAAACTTACTTTACCTAACAATTACAAAAATTAACAACAAACTCTAATTCAAGGTCATCAATACCACTGACCAATTAAAAAATACAAATAATAAAACACACACCATACAATCACCAAATAAACAAAGGAAAAACTATACCACAGAAACAAGCATTCAAAGGCCAAAATAACATAAATTTGGGCAAACATTGCACTGAAGACTATGTGAAATTAATGGAATCTTTTCTAAAATGTAAGAAAACTGAGTCTTATAGTTTTCCTAATGTTGCTAATGGGGAAAATTGATATGATAGAAAAATTTCGTACATAGTAAGGAGGAATATGAATAGACAACACAAAAAATACACCAAACTGCCACTGAAAATGGTAAAAAGTGTCTGACAGACAAATAACAGGATGATCAGAGATTATTAAGTTACAGGTGAGGTGCATTGCTTCATAGACCACCACAAAATATGGCTGAACTTCCCACTCGGAAATGGGATTTTGACTGCTTATTAGAAGGTCCTGCGTATAGATAAATTATTAGGTGCATTAAGTGAAAGAAAATGAATTTAATATGAACAAATGTACATATGAACACCGAACACTGTTTCTCTTTCTCATGGATTTTTATGACTTGGACCTTTTCTCTGATAGACCTTTTTAAACGCAACTGAAAACTGACTGGGAGGCTGTGTTTGGCTATGCTTTAGAGCCATGCATTATGGTTTACATTTTTTAATAAATTTTTATTGGGAAGGATTCCCAATAATCCAAACATTTAAAGCAGTTTTCAATTTTGTATTATTAACGGGCTACCAAAAATTCATTAAAAATTTTTGTATTGAACTGGTTTTGAATCAATTTGTGTAGCTAACCAATTTTGTTGGACAAAGTTGAAAAACAAAGCAATATTCTGATTTCTTAGGTAGAAAAAAAGTGAAGTGAAAATAAATCTATAGAAGAAAAAAACGAAAAAAGAGAAAGGAAGAGAGAAAGAAACAGCCTAGATGGTGAACATTAGATTGAGTCGCTTTTAATCAAAACTGGTATGCTAATAAAAATGCTATGCTAGTTTCAATAGTACTTAACGCAAACTGTATACTAACCTGATCCATTGCCCCTGAAAAAAAAAAAATTAATTATTATTTCTCATGCGACAATAGAATCAAAAACACATTGACATTAGCATTTATTAATTGTGAAAATAAAATAATCGGTCTAAATATATTTTTATTAGTAGTGTGTACAACCATCATGGCCGGCTTATATTCACTGTTGGGTCTGTGAAGATGGTGAGAATGCCAAAGGAAAATTTGTTTGCATAATTTAGAAATTCTCACAATCACCCCTGAGATAAGGGACTTATGGTACGGGGAGAGG